TATATATATATATATATATATGGATCATATTCTACGAACGTCCAAAAATGTGTTAATCAAATTTATTCCATAGAGATTAATTCTTTGATGATCCAAAAAATTCATTGATTCCGAAATTCAACCACCACATATTACTTGATCCATAAATTCTTCTAAAACATATTTTGATGATCAAATCATATATAAAACCACAAGATCAAAACACACGAGATCTTTTAATCAAATACCAAACCATCTAATCTACTAAAGATAAATCGATACCAATGATTAGGAGTTGTTGCAGAAGCACAAATTCAGGAGAACTAAAGTGATGTACTAGGAGTCGGACTGGCGTCAGGAGCACGCAATCTAGGGTTAAGGTATAATCAAGAGTTGGGATTTGTTTTGAAGGAGCGTACCTCCAGTAATACAAGGGAGATTGTAAGAATTGAAATTAGAAGTTATACAGGGTAGACATGTCTGAACCGTACCGTAAATTTGCTTCGATTTATAGTGGATTACTAATTGGCAAAGTTCCTGCAGTTTTTACTCAATTGGGATTTCTCCGTGATCATCTTTGATGTTCTTTGCTGCTTTAATTATTGATTGTGATATTCAAACTTAGAACAAATTGATTTGTTTCATCTTACCACATAGAAATAATTAAAAAGTGACTTGTTACTTTTAATAATGTAATCACGCACATTGGGTCTAAACATGCTGTAAATTTAAAACTTTCGGATAGGAATTGTAAAAGGAAGAGAGATGTTGAGAGGCTCCATATTGTCTAATCGAAAGAAATAGTTTCTTCATTTTTCCGTGTACCAGTAACTCAATTTTAATTGAAAAATGTGACAATAACCCACCATCAATGAGACCACTTACAGGTAAGAACAACTCCAAATAGCAATATTCTTAAACAAAAAAAAAAAAACCGAGACCACATCTAACTTAGTCCCACGTCTAGTCCAACTTTTAAATCTAGACAAATGCCTAGACATTGTTTATTTTTCTCTATCAATCAACTTGACAAAATACCTATTAACGTGCAGTCAAGACGATTTTTCTTAAATGCCATCCATTTTTGCTTATGCGGCACAATTTTTTAAGCAATCCATGCTCATTGAAAATATAATATTAATATATGCCTAGACCATGTTTGTCTAGTGGCATCCGTGAGCTTTTCCTACTTCATGGCGAAAATTCGAATCCCCCCCTACCCCATTGCATTTGGAAGGAGAATATATTGTGCACGTCAAGCTTACAACATTCTAACAGTAGTGAGTTTAGATCTCTTTCCATCATCCATAGGGCTTTAGCATCCTAGAAATCTAAACTATATCAAAAACAAAGATTTTCAAAGGCGAGCAAATGACCGAGTGATGAATAATTACTACATTTAGAAATTTATTCCATTCGGAAAGGAAATAACAGATCATTTTTTATTAATTGGAAAGCGATTCTAATCCCATACTAGGCTAATTTTGATAATTCACAATATTATATTGGTTTTTATGTTAACAAGATAAAATTGATATATCCTTTTATCTTAAATAATTTTCTCCAATCAAAACTGATTTCAATCCTATAATATTTAGTCGAGCTCTGCATTCAACTGTGGGGTAGGTGGTGAAATTCTTGAATAAATCACTCTTTATCTTTGATGAGATTCAAGCTCAATGCCTATGCCATGGCGGCATTCATCTTCAAGTGCCAAACTCAACATCTCTGTACAGAACTGATCGTCTGGTTTAAGCCATAAAGCCTGTTAAAATGCACAGAATCACGTGAATACATGGTCAAAAATGAACAATTTGATCAAAATATATAATTTTACTATGCAGTAATGCGTTTTACTATCAGAAAGAAAACTTGAAAAAATGCAAAAATATTGTGAACAACAAGACAATGTCTAAAATATAGAAAGCTAGCTCTTAATAATATTATTAATAACTTACTTTGTGATAGTATGTAATTGCTGAAGTAAATTTATCCTACAAAAACAAAGTTTTATTATGAAATATTTTCATCTCAACTTTCATACAGTAATACTCAACTAGAAATATTTTAGAATAATCACCAGCAGATGATATGTGTATGCAATTCCAGCATAAGTACTCAAACTTCTTGTTGATAAAGCAAGAGCTTCCTCATAGTATACAATTGCATCATTGTACCTCCTGATATAGAGTAGCGTTTGATGTTAACCGCAACAAAACAAGTAAAAAAAATATGGGCTTTTGGAATGGAGGTGGGTGGTACAGCAGAGAAAAAAATAAACTAGAAGGTACGAATACTTTTAAAGAAACAAAAGCTACAAAAATAATAATAATGACGACAATGGATTACGAAAGACAACACATTATATATTCAAATTCTATGATTTTTTGAGAGCTCGAAATTGTCAGGAACAGTACTGCAACTCCATAACAAGAATTGAGTATGTAATGATAGACTCAACCTTATGACTACAGCACTTTCCAACTGAAACATCCACTGCTTTCCAGGGAAAAAAAATATGTACGTGTGTGTGTGAGGAAGCCAAACTTATTAGTGAGTCACATGCTAATGGAACAATAGAACTTGAAGTACTCCATCCGTCCAAGAAGATCAACTTATTAATGAGGTATTTTCAGTTAATCGTAAATCAATGTTTAAATGGAAGCCAAAACAGAATTTTTCCCCTCAACCTGTAGTAGTTTTTGTTAAACTGTAATGCATGCAATCTCAAGATGTTCTTATTCCTACAGGTCGTTAAACCTGTAATAGTTTTTGGTTTCAGAAAATTTAGTTTGAAGATGCTGTCCATCAAGAAATTGAGTCAACCAAGACAGGGTCTGGCTCAATACATCACCAGTTGAGAAAGATAAAATAGAACATCAAGCACCCATTTCACATTCGTAAGTTTACATAGCTAAAATTGAGAACAGCTCGTGGAAGCATAAAGAGAAAATACAAACTTTAATTTCCTCAATGCATGAGCGAGGTTGACTATAGTTGGCTCCCACATTTCACGTACAGAGGATGGTATATGAGCCAATGTCTTCTCGAACCAACGTACAGCTTCCTTGTACCTGACAGATTTTGGGAAAATAATCTCACTGATTATGACAGCGCCAAAAAATGTACAGAATACTTAGTTTACCAAATAAGATTACGTGAATTGGAATACATACATTATGTTACTTGTATAGCAACATATAATTGCCAAAAGCATCAGAAATTATCGGAAACATAAAATAAGGATGTATAAAATACCGAAAAAGTCATTTTTTTCTTCATTTCTCATACAAGCAAGTAAAAACCCTTTCAAACGAACCAGATTCTAAAGGACACTAAGGGTTTAAAGGGACCTTCCCTCTAAACCTGCACCATACATGCTACATCTCAAAAACAAAGCCAGTTTTCCCACTGGTATTGGTCGAATTCACCAGTTAATAGCTAGACTGATGCAACTATATTCAAGCCTTAGTTTCCTTAACATTCATCTTATTTCCTTTCTTAAATGTCTCCAGAAAGTGGGAAAGGCTACAAACCATGTCTACAAAATGCCATTAGCATGCAGCTGCTTCAAAGCCAAAATGATGCTATGTGGTCAGATGACCAAGATACTGGGGAATACCACTTATGTTTAGAAAAAGGAGTACCTACAATCAGATGAAAATTTTATAGATTTCTTTGTCTTGAATTGCTACAAAAAGGGTTTATATCAAGAATAGTTGGTTGGACAAACTGGTATGAAACATTAGTGGACATGTCCAAACTGTATCCCTGTACACTTGCTATATCGACTAATGCTTCCTGAGGGTCAAAATGTTCAAAAAGCTGATGAAATTTGTAAATGAAACAAAGTTAACATAACCAAATACACCTAAAACTTTTCAGAGGATCAACTAAGAAGCTTTTTCATATCACTGAAATACAAGCTCTAACTTTGACCAGCATTAAAACCTTAAATTGAAAACCTACAAGTGTAAACTAGCATAAGCTCCCATATCTTATCATCTAAAAGATGCAGAATGCATAAATAGAATCTGAACCCTTAGGCAAGGAGCAAATCATGGATCATTTGAGCCTTGTCTAGTCAAAAGTGTAAGAGAAAATTAACATATTTGTACAAGAAATGAATCAGCAGTTTACACATTTCATGAAAGGTGAAAATCTTACTCCTCCATGTGATAAGCCACAGTTCCAAGTTCATTATATACGAGTGGGTCTGAAGGACATATTGTTTTTGCCTGCATAAAAAACTGAAAGCAGCATCTAATTAGGAACTATTGGAGATAGAACTAGCTAATAAATCTCTGGAAAATGATACGTATACAAAAGTAACACAGAGAACAAAGAGGTTTAGGGCCTGTTTGGGCCGGATTAAAATCTTATTTTAATCTAAGTCAAAGTCAAACAATCAATATTAACCATATCTTTCATGGTCCCACATCTTTTCAACCACTCATTTTAAAAACTTCTATTACAATCCACTAAAAATCTAATTTTAATCCCCACCAAACACCCTCTTAAATTATTTCCACAATGAGGAAAATTCCAATTTTCAGAAAGTGATATATTACCTGCTCAGCAAGTTTGAAGCTATGGGTTCGCATGTATTCCATCCCAATGTATAGAGTAGGCAAATGGCATCTGGAATAAGAGAATAATAATAGTCTAACTTGTAAAAGGAAACTTATACCTCATAAGTAATAAGATTTTCGCAATTTAGGATTTTATAACTACATTTAACAACTTGAAGAATCACTTAGAGCATCTGCAATGGTGGTGTAAAATAGAGATTTAGATCTCCAAAGTAGCTGAAAAACTCTCCAATGGAGAGATGCAAAGGAGATGCAAAATTGCATTTTTCGGCATAAAATGTAAATGAGGATGTAAAAGTGGTTATGGAAATACCAATTTACACCCAATTTTACATCGCCATTGGAGATGCTCTTATAGGTATAATAGTCGAGATCTAGATCTGGAATTCATCCTACATTAATAACATCAAACTGATACAAATCCCACTTAGGATTACAGCTTTCTTTCAACCTTACAATGATAGTTTCAATCAGTGCTAAAGATTTACAACTGCAATAATGCTATTGATAACCATATAATTTCAATGAAGATGTGAATTATCTTTCCTCTGTCCATAGAATTGAATCAATTGATGATTCTCAATCTAACAATCTATCCCCAAAGTCATCCAAAAAAAATCCTAGGCAGGATTTTATTAACCTTCCTTGCATATTTAAACAGCAAAACTGATCACACCCACCTCATTGTGTAGAACTGAGCAGGCATAACTTATTAATTGCAATACAGGAGAGAATTAAGGGTACAGCCTTCAGAATATTTCAGGAAAGTGCATGTAGAGAACAACTAATTCTTCTTATCCCTAATAAAACCACAAGTCTCCTAGATGGATTGCAGTCATACCAATGCAGATTTGAGGTGGAAATTTACCCAGGAAATAAACGAGAAGCAGTACGATAAGCTGACATCGCTTGATCTCCTTCTTCTTGAGCAGCATAAGCATTCCCATAACCAATCCAAGCCGGGGCAAAGGTCCCATCCAAACTTGTTGCTTTGCTGCAAAATAAGACAACCCATGCTTTAAATCAATCTAACTTGAATACAAATCAAAAATCTCGAGGCTAATAAAAATTAACATCTATATTCCATTTTCATTAGATTACTACTTGTCCATGTTTTGTGGTTAGACCAGGGTGCCCTGAACCCATGTTGGGACAAAAATCGTTCCTTAGATGAAAGAGGTCCCAGTTTCTTAAATGCTCAAGTTTTATCACATGTAAAAATGGATTAAATGTCTTCACAAAATCCAAGGCATACTGATTTTCATCATAAACAAAGCTGAAAATAAGTAACTTATTTGGAGTCTGGAGTATGGCCAAACCATACTATCAAAATAATTCATTTTTTGCACTCTATAAGAAAGGTAACTTTTCCAAAGATGTTTGGAAACAATAAATTAGTTAAAATTAAGTTTGATTACTTTTAAGCTTAGCCAAACATGAAACATCCTCAATTATATATCTCCTCCTTAACTATATACTGGCAAGATATATTGTAAGTTCTCTGAACATGCACTTCTACTTGTTTCAAAGATCTCTTTAAGATATTCTGACGTCAAATTGCATGGCCTCATGCATAATTGAACAATACACTGGAGGATGACCCAGATTTGCAACTATATCAAAGTAATTCCCAGAATTTAGAATAGTTAGGCTGCATATCAGTAAAACTATAATTTACATAATACTAAGAACTTGAGCACAAACAAAAAAAATTTACATTGTTCAACCCAGCAACATCTAAGCATTCTGGAACAGATTTTTATATTCAGAAGAAGGTAATGGCACGGTTGAATTAATAAAAAAATGAATACACAATGTAAATCACTGGTGGGAGGTACCCTCTCCAGGGGGAAATTTTAATTCTGGGGGTAGAATATCACTCAAGACAAATATATTATAGAAATTTAGAATCCCTTCAAAAATTTATTTAAAAGTTTAACACCTCAAATAAAGGTGCAACTGATAAAAGAGTTTAATTCCGGTGGTAGAACATCACTCAAAGATAATATTTTAGAATCCTCCCTTTACAACCTTCTCTGAAAGGTTAATACCTGAAATACCGGCGTGATTGATCGTACTTCTTGATGCAGTAATAGTAGCAACCCACAGCAAACCATGACAGAGCACTGGATAAACATGTCTTAACCAATCATTAAGACATAAAACCTGAAACCTCCAAAGAAATGAAAAGAGAAGGTTTTGATGGAACTATTTAGCAGGTCAAAACTGAAGAGCATGGAAAATAACTTGTTTCAGAATTGTATATCAGAACCAAATAATTAATAGGAGAAACATTGAAATGCCCAGTAATCATTAGTCATTGTTGCCTGGTACAAACAACTGCTGCCTGAAGCAAGACAGCGAGTAACAAATCTAGGTATGTTCCCAATGAGATTATATTCTTCCAACAATACATTTAAGACTTCTATCACATGGTGCGTTCAAAAACACCAAGAATGCCATCGTACACAATAGCATTTTCATTTTCATTCTTCTACTCATTTTTAACCATACACTCTTCAATAAAATAATATTTTTTATCACATCAATAACTTTTCTTTCTTTTTCAACCACAAATTCTCAATTAATTTACTATTCCAAAATACATTCTTCCAAAATAATCTGGCTTAAACACACCCTTAGGATGAATTTTCAGAATCTAAATACGTTTCCTTCACTGCATCCCATATGTCATTCGCCGTTGGTAGGAAAAGGTAAGTCTTTCCGATGGATGGTTTTATGGAGTTTACTAGCCAAGCAGTCACTATGGAATTTTTTGACCTCCATTTTTTAAGAAGGGAAACATTGGTTGAGGCCGACTTCGTTGTTTCTCCCGTGAGGTAACCCAATTTCCCTTTTCCATCAATTGTTAATTTGATCGACTGAGCCCATTCACGGAAATTCTTCCCATTCAGTTTTTCAACAGTTAGTTGGAAAGATGAATTTTCTTCAAAATCTATGGCGAAAGAAGTTTCAGACTCGCCATTTAGAGAGTAAGAGATTCTCTGCTGTTAGCGATGGCTTCTGACATGATTTTGCTAGGTTAGGAAATATTCCACAGCTCTGATACCATGAAGAGAAAACTGTATATTTTCTTACATATGATTTACGACACAAGACATCTACTTATAGTACAAGAACAGAAATAATAAAAGGAAGAAAATAATTTCCTACAGTATCTAGAGATTACAATATTTTATCTATGGAAAGATGAATCAACTCCAATAATTCCTAATCTTGGTCCCCAATCATCTCGAGATTTCAACACCTTCATAACGTAAAATCAATAAAAATGACATTTCTAGTATCTAAAAGGTCGTGTAACCTCAAAATTAATAAGTGTGACGAGAAATATGTCAAGATTGGCAATCAATTCCCAAAGATCACACAAGACACAATGTGCTCACCAGTGAGCAGAGATTAGCTATGAGCACTAAGGTACAAATTTTATTATTTCCAAATGAATTCAAATACCTTAGAATAACTATCCTGGTGCTTCAAAAAATTATCGAGCTTAGATGACTAGTCTATATGATAGCTATGTTCAATTCTATTGATTAGATCATATTGCATATGTGCTCTTTTGTCAACTAAATTATATTCTTAATTTTAAACAATTAAGAAATGTTGTCAGAAGTGCAAAAAAATCAGGTTTGAGCTTAACTGTTGGCATTAATTACCAGGGTTGCTTGCATCATATTCTTCTATTGGCCTGTGAGACTCAGCCAAAACCTTTTTACCATCGGCACTACCGTACAATGCAAATACCACTTCACCAAAACAAAAATAGGAAAATATTTTAGGCAAAGTGCTGATAGTTTATTTCATACACTCAACTCCGGTGGAAAACTAAGAGCAAATTTAGAAAATAAATAAGAGCAAAAACATAATATTTTTTCTCAAGATTAACAAGGAATGTCAACGTAAATGACACAAAATTATAGATGCATACTCACTTTTGAGGATAATCCTTGACTAAATTACATGCCATGAGATAGAGCTCATTGGAATGTCCAAGCTCCATTGCTGCTGCTAAATGCACTAGAGTACATTTTAGGTGGAAAGGATCCTTCTCGAGCAATCTGAAAAATCATATGTAGCGACACAAGGGGCATTGGTCAAGGAATAGAAGTAAAGAGCACCATTATGTTAAAACAAAATAATCAACCCACCTTGACGTTAGTTCAAAGCATTTCTGGTATTCACCACACTGATGGTAGTGCTCAGCTTTGCAGGCTAAAAGATCAGTGTTGTTCTTCAATGTATGTTCTTGTTCTAGTTCTCTGAACTTGGCTTCTGCAACATATTCTTTATCGTGCTGGAAAAGATGATGACACGAGTACATTATTAACCGTAAGAGGTAAACCAAATGAAGATAGATACATGAAAATGCATATAAACTTATAAGGGGACAGCAATGGGGTCCCCAACCTTTTCATGATGTAACAAGTTAGTCCCCAAGGACCCTCAACCTATTTTTTAGCAAGAGGAGTCCCGATCTTTTAAGTTTGTAGCAAGTTGTCCCCCAATGGACAGTTTTCATCTAGTTGACCATTGAAAGGCAACGACTGACTTTTCCAAAATGTAATTTGGATAAACCGTTACTGTAATGAAAAATAAATAGTCAGGAATGGTAAAGGGAAAAGATAAGGAAAAAAAATAAAAGGCAAACCATCCCTGCCAAACCCCCAACCTACTCCACCCCAACCCAACCCAACCCTCCCCTCCCCTCCCCTCACAACCCATATCACCATCCCCCGGCACCCCTGCATCATCCCTACCTTCTTCCTCCCTTTACAGAACAAGTGGATGGAAACCGCTGCAGGACAACAACTTGCTACAAACTTGAATACTGGTCTTACTAAAAAATAGGTTGAGGGCCAATTTGATACATTGCAAAATGGATGGGGGACCGCAACTGCTATTTTCCACAAATTAGAAACTAAACTGTAATCTTGAAGTATACTAGCATTGGAAACTATACTTACTTTAGTTACCAGACATGAATAGAATGAAGAGAGCCAGCCATCTTCAGGGCCGAATTGCAATGTTGACAGTAGACTTGTCACTGAAATTTGTAGGCATATCGAATTAGAATAAAACTTTTATCTAATTAGAGAAAGGGAATTTCAAATTATATTGTACAGAGAAACATCCTATGGTTTTCAACCACAGATCCATATAATGCAAAGTAGAAATGATCAAATAATATAAACCGTGACACAGTTAAACATCCACCCTATGTTTAACTTTTCCCCATAGTTAAGAATCATATAAAACAAAATGTTGAAGTTTGACGAGTTCTCACCTTCTTCACAGGTGAGCATGTGACCGACTATAAGACATTCCAAGGCCTGAAATAAGAAGGGGAAAATATGGTCTTAGAATCAACAAGAACAAGAAAAGAAATAGAAGCCACATTGCAATGAACAAATTTAACATGTAATAGAGTGCCAATAGCAACTGTACAGGGCCTCAATATGCAAACGAGAAACGCCTCAATAGAATAACTAGTATACCTCGTAACATAGAGGATCCGCCTTGATGGCAGCTTTGTACCTGTAATTTCAAGATGAAGGTAAAATAATGATCTCTTTCATCTACCAAAACATGATCACCAACTTGACAATAACATAAAAGAAAGGCGCAGAACAGAGAGGGGAAAATTATATGCGTTGGATTGAATAAAAACAAAGATCCATGTATGGAAACCCTAATATCCAATTTAATAGTTGCAAATAAATATAGAATCCAGTATGATTCTATGAAAATTCAGACACAGGTACTGATTCATAACTTAACATAGGCTAGAATTTAGCAACAATAAAGTAAGATCATGTGAAGGAATAAGAGAAGAGAAACAATACAAAAAGAGGTTAGAAACAGAAGATAGCAAAAATGGAGGCTGGAGGGAATACCTAAGAAACGCATAACAAATAGAGATTCTTTAAATCCACCATTTCTAATGAATCCAAAGGTTCATTGCTTTGATTTCATCAGAGACCTTTCTATAATTCAGAGAATCTTATTCACAATATCCTACCAAAATGGAGGCCTCATAAGTCATAATAGACATGATTTATACCGCTCCACTGGAATATAGTTAATCAACAAATCAGCAATTAATGGGAATAACAAACACCAATAAGTTCTCATGACATAACATTTATCCTAAATCGTGAAACATTTTCACATCTAATTACATCACGTGCTTACCTTTTTTTCACCAGTTACGAGGGTTAACATAGTTTTAACTTTTCAGTTTTGAGAGCCAAACTATTTATTAACTTCTCCAGTTTCAAATACCTTTAATTTTTTATGTTATGCCATCATTAGGAAACACCTTTTCCAAAGACACGTTTAGGTGTTACTCTAGCTCAGTAAATACCTGAAATAAAATGCTTTGTTCATCTAAGGGAAAAGAAATACATATATATACATCTTAATATGTGCTATATAATCAATCAATTTTTAACATTCTTGAACATAATATTTGCTACTCTCGGAATTCAAAGCCATCATGGCTAAAAACTAGAAAGTCATCAATGATGAGAGTAGAAATATAATTATAATAAGACACTAAATATCGCACCATAGTTGAGCCTGTACACGATTTTCCAATGCTTCGTACGCCTTGCCTCTCAAAAAGTATATTGCTGACAAAATCTGTCATGTGATGTAAATATTATTTCACGTCAATGCTTCTCTAACATGGGAAGAATGAGGCAGGGATGCAGTTACTGCATGTGTACATGTGTGCTGGAGAAAAAAGTAAAGTTAAATACTTACATTGATTTCACGATCTTCACCATCTTTATCCAGATACATGCAGCTGTAATCTTTTGTATCAGTAATATTACCTTGTTCATCCACTTTAGCAGGACCAAGCATTAAAAGGCATTGATCCCACTCCTTCAGTTCTTCCTGATAAATAGATGAAATTTTCCATGTAATGAAATGTGTACGAAGGCTACTGTATATTTATCATATAAGCAAAGCAGTCTAGTGCTCATGAATATACGAACTCTCATTTCAACATGCAAGGAACTGGTGGCACTATTGAGTTAGTTACGGTATAGGCAAAACATGCCATGGCAAGTAATTCCATGAATGGATAGTATACACTCGCTGGTGTTCTAATCCAGAGATTTCTTGCTGTGGATAACTCCTCTCCACCTTCGCGTATATATATTGAAAACACAAAAAGAAGCAGACAAAATCTGAAAAACGTCACAAATAAAATCCTAAGACTTGAGTTGTTCAGGAAATCCTCCAATAAATCTTTCCCGGAGTGGCTTGAATAATTAAATCCCAGATAAACTGATCAGTGACATTTCAGCAACCAATTGACGAGCACCACCATGAAGGAAACTCAAAGGGAAAGAACGAAGAAGCTGGAAATTCCAAAACCAAGCTAAAAGCGCCAAGTCCACAGGACGCAGTGGCATAACATTACAATATATCAACGTGCATTTATATCGGTGGTGGAGAAGTGAGGAAATTAACAACTTACTAGGCATTTGGCGGCGAGGTAGCGGAATCGGAGGTCGCGGAGGACAATCTGGGATGCATTAAGGAGATGGAAGGCGCGGCGGTAGTGGCAGCCAAGGTAGAGTGCCTGTGCTTGCATATATATGTCGGCAGGGTCGGACGTGATGGCCGCCACCTTGTCGGCGAAGAAAATCGCCGATGAGTACAGATGTTTGCCGACGCAATCCCTGACCACCCCTCTCAGCTTTTCTATTTGCTCTTCCTTCATATCTATTTTCGTTAATAGCCTGAAACTGACGGCTCCGATTTGCAGAGAGCAAGGCTTCTGGACTAGGGGAGTTCGGATAGTGAAAACAACGGGGGGTTTTTGTGGGACTGAGGTATGGGTTTTACATTTGGAAAATAGATAATTGTTGATTAAATTGAAAATAGATAATTTGTAATAACTTTTTTATTTTTCCAAATATACACCTTTATTTGAATGAAAAATAACTTTTTAATTATGAGCTCGTTTGTTGTAATTAAAATTTAGATTTTAATTTAAATCAAATTAAAAAATAGTTTTAATTGTATATTTCATGGGAATTATAGTTTTTAACCATATATTTCATCAACTGTTATCAAAATTTACTAAAAAAATAATTTTAATTCCCACACGGACTTTATTTCCACTACATTTTTTAATAGTATCATGGTTCAATTGCAATCGATGAGGTCTCCAACATTTTTCTCACATTCTTATCTTAAATATTCTGTTGATTTGTATATCTCGTCTTTAATAATGATTTTTGTCCAAGAAATTCGTTAGAATTGTGTAAATATAATTATTTGTGTTTCTTTTATAAATAAACTAAATAAATAACAAAAACAAAAGTTTGACAAAATATTTGATCATCATTACAATGCATATTAGCATAATCTTTGGACAAAATTTGTCGTCGAAGATAAGATGTAATAATTTAATTGAGATTGAACTCTTATTCAGTGTAGATTAAAATTTACTAAAAAAATTTAAATCAAAATTAACATTTTATTCTAAATACATATTGATGGATTCAAAAATTTTCAAACATACTTCTCATTAATTTTTATCAAAATTTACTTAAAATTTGATATTAATCTACACTGAACAAAGGGCTAAAGTTAAGACGTGACGAAAAAAGTACACATTAAGAAAAATTTTGAATCTTCGACTATAATTAAAATATGGTGTAAATTATTAAAAATATAATTTGAAGGAGGTCACTTATTGATCCAAAAAAAAGTAGTTCACTTTAGCCTATTTTTGAGTTTCACTTTTTGGGAAAAATACATTTTATAATAGTAATTCTATACATATAATAAAGGTTGAATTTTACAATATTTTTTCTCACTATAAAAATAATAAATTGAGTTCAAAATATAGGAAATAAAAATGAAAATTAATGCGGACGGAAAATATTTGATTTGTGTTTATTTAAATATATTTTTATGTAAATAATGATTAAGCACTTGTTTGGTTCCCATTATTTTAAAATGCATTTTTTCTCTTTATTGTTAACCACACATTTTTCAATAAAATAATATTACACGCAAATTTTTCTTACGTTTTAACTACACATTTTTATCAAAATACTATTCAAAAATGTATTTTGAACAAAATAAAATGGGGCTAAAATTTTAGCCTAAACTATTTTTTTTTTTCATAATTTTTATAATTTTAGATTTTATTTTTTTAAAATTTTAATTTTTTAGTTTTCAGAATTTATCAATTTTATTTTTGAATATTTGTTTGAAAAAATATTTGTTAGATTTTTTTATTTTAAAAATATTATTTCAATGAAATTTTAACGTTTGTTTTAATGTTTTGAATATTTTCAGAATTATCATTAAAAACGTTCAAAACGTAAAAAATGAATTTATAGTTTTATGTTATAAATTTAATTTTATTTTGAAAATGTATTTTTATAAATATTAGATCAAATACTTTTTCGATATTTTATAAAACTGAAAACAACAAATATCAAGCAAGCAAGAATCTTTCCTATGGCGCCTTCTCCATGAATTTATCTCTTACCTTTCCGACCGTTGAACTCAAAAATGGAGAAACTCAAAAAAGTCTCATCATTCAGACTTTCCTCCCTCCTTCGCCTCCAGAAGGACCCCAAGCTAGCCCTCCAGCTCTTCCTCAACCCAAACCCCAATGACCCAAACCCGAAACCCTTCCGGTACTCTCTCCTCTCATACGACCTTATAATCTCCAAGCTCGGCAGAGCCAGAATGCTCTCTGAAATGGAAAATATCGTCGAAAAATTGAAATCTGACACCCGAATAATCACAAAGGAAATCATTCTTTGTAACATCATCACATTTTATGGTCGAGCCCGCTTGCCGCATAAAGCCCTCAAGGTATTCGAAGAAATGCCCGCGTTTCGATGCCAAAGAACGATGAAATCTGTGAATACTGTTTTGAATAGTCTTCTTATTTGTCGGCAGTTCGAGAAAATGTGGGAATTGTTTATGGAGATTGAAAAATACGGGAGTCCGGATGCTTGTACGTATAATATATTGATCAATGCGCGTCGTGTAAAGGGTGATGTAGAGGGAGCACTTAATATGTTTGATGAAATGATAAAAAGAGGAGTGGAACCAAATGTGGTAACATTCGGAACTGTAATTAGTGGCTATTGCGCTAAGTTAGAATTAAATAAGGCTTTTCGGTTGAAGAAGAAGATGGAGGGGGATTTTAAAATCAAACCTAATGCTCACATTTATACCGCATTGATTAAAGGGCTTTGTAAGGTTGACGAGTTGGACAAGGCTATTAAGCTTAAGGAGGAGATGTCGAGGAAGAAAGTGGAATTGGATCCCGCAATATATTCCACCTTGATTAATCAATTTTTTAAGGCTGGTCGGAAGGCGGAGGTTTCTGAATTGTTAGAGGAAATGGGGAAAGTTGGGTGTAAGCTTGATACAGTAACATATAATGCTCTGATATGTGGGTTTTGTCAGGAGAAGGAGTTTGATTCAGCTTTTGGGGTTTTGAATGACATGGAGAAAAATGGATGTAAGCCTGATGTGATTAGTTATAATGTTATTATTAGTGGTCTCTGTAGGGAAGGGAAAACAAGAGAAGCACACGACTTATTGGAAGATATGCCAAGACGAAAATGCCTCCCAGACGTGGTAACTTACAGGATACTTTTTGATGGGCTTTGTGACCAAATGCATTTAAAGGAAGGGGCAGGTATATTGGATGAGATGCTTTTTAAAGGATATGTCCCTCGTTCTTCTAGTGTAAGCAAATTTGTGGGTGAATTGGTACGAGGCCATAAAACGGAAATATTATGGACAGTTTTAAATAGTCTGGCGAAAAGAAATGCAATCGATTCAGATATATGGAGATTCGTTATTTCTCTAGTCTGCAAGGAGGCTACCACTGTGATGCAACTGAGATCATTAGTAACCTGATAAGCACTCAGGATCATTCAGTTGGTTAGAGATGGCTGTATGTGACCTGACTTCTTTTCTTGTGTGACTAGGGATGCTGCCTAGATATGCATACAAACGCATGTCAAATATGCACTCTTGCTCACATATTAGGGACTGAGTTAATATGGTTGCAGTTATGATTTACTATGACTTTTGTGACCCACAAGCGAGCCATGACTATAATAAAGTAAAATTTCCTCCGAGAGATATTTTAACTAAGATTGTGGGGACTTACAGATTCTTGCATTCTGGTGTAGATAGTGATTCCTTTTCCCTATTATTATTGTGGTAACATACCTTTAATTTCATTAATTTTGCTCTCAAAGACTTGGCCACTCATAAAGGGACCGGAAGAGCCTTACTCTAACAAGAAAGCATGTAAACAGCTGCAGTTATGCCCATTGTCCGCTGCTAATCATATTTCGTCTACCATAGGTCCTTTTAAAGACTGCAAATACCATGCTTCCGGTCATCACATACAGAATCTTTCCTACAAGATGTTCCTGGATTGTATTGCAGTTTAACTTGCAATGGAAAGAGAAGAAATACAGAGGCTGCAGGTAAATCTCCAAGAGTAAATGTGAGAGTCTGCCCTTCTGAATAAAAACAAAATGTGCGATTCCTCATATCTTCTCATTTTATTCCGGGTATGATGTACCTAGGACCAAATATATATTAATGCATTTTATGGTTATGGCAGAACTCCTTAGGATCTTCTTCTTTTTTCAGGTGTGATAATTGTCTGTTGGTGTGCAAGTTTTCAGTAATACAGTAACGAACTATTTCATCTAATTTCTTTCTGTAATTGACTTGGACTTTTCCCTACCTTCTTTTGTCTTCTTTAATTGTCGTGTCTTCCAAGCCTAATGCATGCAGAAAGTCATTCTATCTATTTGCTTTTTTCATATTTTTGGCATGACTTAATACTTTTTCTTAAATGCTTTGCTTGGACTATAATTTAAACCCAGGGACAAATCTGTAAGTATAATATTTATCGAACCATGTTACATAAATCAATAAATTAAGGATGTGCTTTTGAAACTTAATTGTACCTAGGTGAAAATATTTCTCTACCGTAGATGCCGTAAAATAACCCATTTGTGCATCTCAATTTTGTTACGAGGAGAGTTTCAAATTTCTCGTTATCTGTTTACCAGACTAGTGATATACTTGAGTTGTCCTCGAAGTATGCTAGTTATCTGAATTATGGATTAGATGGAAATTAATCTCATAACAACTGTCATTTATTGCCATTTTTTCCGTATAATATAGCCAGGGTGAAGTGGAAGTGCCAGATTTGGATTAGATTCCGATGAACACAAGAGTGATAGCAGTTGATGGTAAATGAAGTCCTGGAGTTTGTGCCCAGTTACACAGACCCAGGTGCACTGGGGGGCCCTTTTCCCATCACATCCACTTTCAGCCTTCATTCAAGTGAATTGATCCCACACCAACATAAAAGACAGCCCCATGCAGCTTACCAAGAAACAAAAGCCAGCATCTTAGTTAATCAGTCCCTATCCAACTTTTTCATCAGATATTCCCAAATAAGAGTTGTAGCTCGTGTGTGAGTGGTGCGCCGGGGCCGTCTCTTGAAGATTTGTGATCTGAACCTTAGTATTTACTCTTTCTCTCTCCCTCTCTCTTTCTTGGAATGTAACTATGCCTATGCTATATATGATTTGCTTCCCACCAATTTTACCACTTCACTAGTCTGTTTCTCTTCCATTTCCTTAGCTTTCGACATGGCTATCTTTAACTCAGTTTTGCTCACTCTGATTCTTGTACTATTCTGTTTTGTGCAATCCTTAGAAACAAGCATGCTCCTGAGCATGGGAAAGGACGAGGCACCTTCCCTAGAAGAGAGTTCAATATTGAGTGCCCTTCACAAGGGTAGTGTTAATCCACCTTCTGCCCCAAGTGATAGAGGCAATTCTGTGGTTATACCACATGGAAATCTCTTTGCCCGCCAACTCGGGAATATTGGCAGTGTTGCTGGTCGCAAAAAGTCAACCCCTAGTCCCGGAGAAGGCCATTGAACTCGAAAGTTTTTGATTTTTCTCTTTGTCCTTTGAAGAGACTCACCTCGTTTACACATTGATTGGTGGCATTTTTGTAAGATACACTTAAGTCAGTGTATATTTACGATTTATTCATGGAATCCTTAGACGAAGTGTATGGCATAAATTATAATTTCATTTTTTTTCTTCATTAGAGTAGAAAACACTTTTATTTTAAGGCACGTTATCCTTTTTATTTTTCTCCAATACAAATATTCCAATTTAATCCTGGACCTCGGGATAAGTGAAATATTAGCATTTTTTAAAAAATAAAATTGAGCTATATTTAGTCCTTTTTGTCACTTTGTTCAGTTCAAGAAGATTGCTATTAGCAAGTCAAGATATCCGATTTTGCAGCCCATACCGGTAGGAATGTCAATAAGTTGAGCCTAGCTGGCTTTGGTCACATTTTTTTGACGAACCCATGAGCTGTCCAAATATTTTTTGCGCTCAGATGAGCCCGAGCAACCCATGGCCCAAGCCCAGTTGAGCTGCTTGGCTCAATTGTCACCCCTACCAGCAGGTACAAAAACATTTTTTATGAAATAGCTGAACATAAAAACACTGAATGTGTATAGTGAAGTGCTACAATTTACAATTACTATCCTCCAACACTTGCTCAATGTTACACAAAATTGAGAAATTCATGAATCTTTGAAAGGCATAACCAGCTAGGCAGCTACCAGGCAAGCCATGGCTACTTTTCTCTATAAAGGATAGGGGAATTGCCATCCTTGGATGTTGTGGGCAAAGATATAGGCGTAGTCTTTGTGCACTTTGCCAAAAACCCGAGATTTCAACATAAATACCGTCCTCACTTAAAAAGGTTAAAAGCTATAGAGGGAACAAATTTATTAATTTAAATTTTCAGCATGCCCCTCATGTGCAAGCCGGATTCATTAGATACACCTGACATTGAACAACAGTCTTACCTATTCTGAACCCAGGAACCACAGTGAAAGCCACACGAGGATCAGTTTCTGGTGTGCCATCAGACAACAAGAACGCTTCATCGCTTAAGCTATCCATGTAAACTTCAGAAAAACGAGCTCCCCTAGTCACTTGAAAGATAGATACCTCGTAGTCGAAAGATAAGGCTAGGCAGTGGAGGAGCCAAACGCGCTTAGCCATCTCAGCAAATGCCAAGAAGAAGGTTGTCTCCAGGCATTCACCAGAACTCACCAAATTCCTCTGATCCAAATTGTCAAATAGGGATGCTTCCATCTTAGGATGAACTAGTCTCAAGTATTTGGCACGAGAAAACATTGCAAACGCGGATTTAGGCTTCCAGGCTAGATAATCCGCTGGTCGAACAGATTTCAACTCGATGAATCTGTCGAAAAATAGCCTTCGTCTTTCCTTCTGCTCCGGCAAGGACTCCTGGATCGAGAAATTTGGAAAATTGAAACCATCAAATATTTCTTTGCAGACAAAGGATTCAAATGCAAAACACTTGTGATTTTGTTTCCAGAAAACTACCCCGGGTTCTATTGAACTGGCTGCAGCCTCCAAATCCCAACCTGCAGACTCCATTTTGCTAATCAGCAACCGGACAAATCCGCGTATTGAATTTACTGTCTGCTTATAACATGTAACGAAGTGGTTGAGACTCAAGCCAGAGAAATGAATATCCTCGGGCATGCCTAATTGTCCACTTGAATTCAATCTCTTCTGGAGTAACTTATTATCCGTGTTGACTTCTGCCAATTTCTCTTCAAGAAAAGTTATTTCAGAGTCCTTGAGTTTAAGCTGAGAATCCATCTTCTTACTCATAATTTCATAAGTTTGTAGCAGACTCTTCTGCTCCTGAATTTCTGCTAAAACCAGAGTCTTCTCTGGACTCTGCGTGTCCAACTGTTTCTTCAAGTAGCATTGCTTCAATTCAGACAAATTCTTTAGTTCCAACACTAACATTTGATCTGCAGATTGAATCCCATCAGCATCATAAGGAGATTGAGCAAATTGGAATTCTGCATATGCAGCTTTAACAGCAGATATTCCAGCAAACAGCTTAGCAAGAAAAGCTTCTTTAACCACCCTAACCCGAACCAATTCATCTTCTTCATCGGAGGATGGAACCCGGGAACTCTTCAAGTGATCATTCGATTTCTTCTCAATCTTCCGGATTCCATCATCCGGAGCTATCCCTGTCAATGCTCGAATGTGCAAAACCTTAGCGAAAGTACGTGCTAACCTAGTTTTACTTGGGATAGCACCGGATTGTTTAACCAAATCCATCTGAAACAAGAATAATCACAAAATGAAGCGATTTCTGAGGTAATACTTGCAGCAATGCTGGTGCAAAAATAGTTAAGAGACCGAAATGAATAATTAAAGAAAGAATGGAATATTTGGAAGAATGATTGCTACAATAACTATGCATAATGAGCGTGTTAAAATAAAAGAGAAAAAGCTGTTTGCTTTAACACTTGAATCGAGGGGATTAAAGGCATCGAAATTCAACAACGACGAAAAAAGAAGTGGACTACAACGGGAGGAAAAGAAAGGAAAAGACAACAGAAGAAGCACAAAAGAGAACAGGGGGAAAAGAATTATATGCAAGGACACCCTCAAAAGGTTTCAATACCCCAAGAATTATATGTTGTTGAAAATGCAGAAAGAAACATTTTACGAGTTACCATAGGGTGGCACGGAGGGAAGACAAAGAAATTAAAATCCTTTAGCGTTTCTTCCTATAATTCTTGGACAATATGTTAGTGATTTATGTTGAAAAGGGAGGTATAGCAATGAACTAAACCGGATGAGGAAACAAGATTAATTAATTGATCTTACACTCATCTTGAATAAGTTTTATGGTTCGTTTGGTAGGATTTTTGAAAAGTAAAAAGTTGATACTGAAAAGCTATTTTTTTAACGTGTTTGAATTATTTTATGGAAGTGTTTTATCTAGCTAGAGGAACTTTTAGAAGAAATTAGAGAGTCGAGATCTGCTAGTCCAACATTTGATGTCCACCAATGAATGATCGACACATCATTTTACATTAAAGTGTCATCTAACTTTAAGCACAAGTGACAGTGAGAAAAAAGTTTGACATGTTACTTTAAAATGATGTGTCAATCTTTCATTGGGTGGACAACAAATTTTGGACAGTGTATCTCAACTCGAAATTACATAGCTTCCTCATAAAGTTGTTTTACATGAAGCAAAAACAGAAACTCTATCGAACGAATATTATTTACTTTTTTATGATTTGTGGGACACCTAAAGCTTGTCGTATGAAACCATGACTCCGTAAATACGGGATTAATAGCTGCATAAACCCATCTCTTTCGTAACTTACTTGGTAAAGTGAAAAAGGAAAAAAATATTAAAATTTCATCAATTATATATATTTATGTACTACATAATCATATCCTTGTATCACCTCCTTATCAGCTCTTGGATCCAATCAAAGTATCCAATGTATGTTGCACACAAACCAAAAGAAATGAACCACCCCACCCCACTCCCACCCCCATCAAAAGAAGGGGGGAAAAAATAAAAGCATGTTACATTTTTTATATTAAAAAAAAACCAAAGGCAAAGCATGGTCCACAAATTTGATTATTGATATCATGTCAGCAAGAAAAAAAATTGTGTCCCTATAGATACATGTTTTCAAAAGCATTTAGTCCTTGTTTGACAACTATTATTTCAAAATTCTTTTAATTCTCGTATTCAACCAAATTCTTAAGTAATAAAATATTTTGCACGTAAATTCGAAAAAAATCTCTACGTTTAACAACACGTTTTCTAAAAAACGACTATTTAAATCTCTATTTTCTTAAAATAATGAACACCAAAATGTGATTCATGAATTGTGATTTCACATCATCAGCAGTCTACAACTATCTTACATCCATATACTAGTTATGGTAGCTCATAACATAATCAACGGACAAAAACACATGCCCCACACCCCAGTTAACGTGCACCTTGTGGACCCAATAATCTCTAACATGACCTCAAAATGGGAAATTACCCAATTGGTCCTCAACTTTCAAAAATAAAAAGTTAAGTTATAAGACCATCTCCAATGCTATCCCAACACAAAACACCATTTTGCACCAAAATGGTTAAATACAAATTTCGCCCTTCTCTCTCACTTTGCAAAAGAATTGATTAGGAGTATTTTGTCCATTTTTGTTATACAATTTTTAATATAATAAATTATTATTATTATTGTTGTTGTTGTTGTACTATTTTTTAAATGACATAATATAATATTATCTGATTTGTGGTGTTACTATTAATTGTACTGTATTTTAAAAATATATTAAGGAATTTAATATTTTCATTAATTTAACGTAATTATTTAATTAGTAATTTATGTATTTGTAAAGTAAATAAATAAATAATTTTTCAAATAAATCAATTATTAAGAATAAAAAAAATTGAAGAAAATAATTAAACAGTGTTAATTTGATGTAATAGTTAGAGATGATTTTCAATTTGGTGCAAAATTGGGTGTAAAAATGGTACAAAACTTACCTCAAATTTTGGTGCTGGATTGGAGATGACCTAACATTACACTTTATAATTTTATTTTTTTGGTTTAGAAAAAAAATTTAAATTAAAGTCAACAATTAATTTAATCATACATTTCATCGAATCCACAATTTTTCAACCACATGTTTTCTAAAATTTACTGAAATATGTGTAAGCAAAACAATTTTTATTAGAACTACGTGACAATTTAACGAAAATGTAAATAATTTCCATTGTTAGGGTTTGATTATGCAATTATAATGAGATGTTATGGACTAACTTGTTCTTTTTAAAAAGTTGAATATCAACTTTAATTCTAAAACAATAAGATGAGGACCAATAGTCCAATTCAACCACCGCCCCTTCTTTAAAAGAAGGGGATATAATCAGTAACTGTGGGAGCATCCACAGGCAATAAAAACTGATTCAACATGAATTCCCACGATCATTACCTTCTAAGCAGCTTCTTCGCTTTCGAAATCCCAGGAAACCCAGTAATTGTTTCTCTTAAATCAAACTACAAATTCATATAAAAATGGATTTTGTTAACTGTACACAAAAAGAGTAATGACACTTAGCCACCACCCACAATCCACAACCCTAGTTTAGGTAGGGTTAAATGATATGTTACTATCATTTAATGTCGTAAAAATTACTATCATCTACTGCCACTTAAACTGGAAAAAAATATACACGACATAACATGACGTGGAGGGAAAAAATTGGATGAAAAAGTTAATTATGCCCATGTTCGAGCCCAATTCTTTCTCCTTTTTTCCTATTCATTTTTCTACCGTACTCATTTTCAACCACACATTCTCCAAATAAAATAATATATCTAAAACTTTTCATCACTTTTCCACAACACATTCTCTCATTAATCACTATTCAAAAACTAATTCTTCCTTAAAAACATGGGGGCCAAACACCCACTATATATCAAACTGACAAATTGTAGGGTGTGACATTATCTAATCCATTATATAAATCTCGATGTAAACGAAGAAATAATTACACTGTTTATGGGTGATAAAACAAGAGGGTTATGTTATTTTGTTTCCTTAAAATAAAACTCAGATGCAAGAAGTGGTTTTTTTTATATAGAAAGATGTTTTAAAGAACGCAATGGGAATAAGAATACGGACAAAAAATATCAGCTGGAGATGAAGATTACCTTACAAAGAAACTTCTGGCATTGTAAAATGAAAAAGGAAAAGTCTTGGTCAATCTTCAGAGTTCAGACTTCACCTGAAATACTCCAACGGAGATTTTGAATAAAAAGGTACGAATTTTGCTGGGTTAGGGGTTTGAATTAGGTGAGATTGAAGAAGGGTTTTGCTGGTTTGAAGGAAAGACGATCAGAGATTATAGAAAGAGAGAGAGAATGTGATGCATGGTAGAGAAACAGAATGGAGGAAAAAAAATGAAAGAAGAAATTAATAATAGTCATTGGCGTTGGCATTGACATTGAGGGTACAATTCCATCACTTACATCCTTAGCGCATGTTTGGCTAAACTTAAAATTCAATTAAAATTGAAAATATAATCGTTATTGAGTCTCACTCATCCAATAAAAGTCAACAATAACGGCTAATTTTTCAATTTTAATCCAATTTTAATCTTTTTTCGTGTATTTATGTTCTTAACTTTTCTTTGACGCATTTATATTCTATACATTTTATTAATCAGCACGTCTCATTTTTTTATAACGATTTTTGTTTAATAAGTATGTTGAAGGACGTAAAATGATATTTGTTTTTCGTCTACCATATTTTTAAAAAATAAAATAAAAGCAAAAGTTACTACAGAATATTTTTCCATCATTTTGAACAACGCAAAGATAATAGATTAAAATCGCCATAGAAGATCATATGTTAATTAATTGAAAATTTAAGATAAGAATTCAACGGAGAAAAAAATTCAGGGGAGCTTTCAAATTTGAATTATACTAAATTGAACCATAAAACCTTTCAAATTTAAGGTAATTATTTTAATTAGATTATAAAAATAAAATAGTTTTATTTATGACAAATTGAATTTAAAATATAAATAAATTCACGAGGATAGCAATCGTCTCGTGTATTGACCAAGTCGACTTATTTAATTTTCGCTCTCCGTTTTAAATCATCATCGTGAGTTTGATTCGTGTCATTTTGTAATTTTCGAAAAATTCAAACCTAAACTATGAGTAATTTTATTTAGTATCATTAATGATCGAATCGACTAGTCGAACACAATCCTTATAACACTATTAAATATACCATGTTGTCACGTATTTATTTTTATAAAATATATTTCCTTTCCTATGGAATTCAAGTCAAAATGGGGCACACAAGGCATGAAAGTGACAATATAATGTTATGTTTGTATTATAGTCATTAGTCACGACTGCGACCTATCACTTGTTGGACAAAATTAAAAACAATAATGTCAATAAATTCGGTGAATCAAAGACCACAAGACAGCTATGCGATACTCCTATGAATAGAATGTGAAAAAGATGTATCTTTAAGTGGGCCCTAATAAAATCTTGATATGAAATTTCAATATTTGAAATAAGCCCATATAATTTAATTATTTGCTTATGCAACAAATAATTAAATATGTTTTACACAAGTCTTGATATTGCAAATCATAATCAACTAATTTTACGATAGTATTAGATTTATTTCCGAACGTAAGTTTTTATTAACGGATTGTAAAAGAGTGACTAATGGTGAAAGTAAATCGAATATTGATAATTTAACTGCGATAAATTAAAGATAAACGGCCTTCTATAACCAAAATTAGAACTAACCCTCTGCGGTGCAAAAATCCGTTGTTTTTTAATGTCAATGCATGAGTCTAATGTTCGTTTTACTAATGGGAAGTAAACGAGTGACTAACGAGAAAACAAGTTAAAATGAAGTGATTTGTTTGGGATAAATAATTGATGAGTGACTTATTTGAGATTTTTATGAAACTTTTCCTACCACAATTAAAACCAACCTTTTACAATCCGGTTGTATCTTGATGTCCAAAGAATCTAGGCTCAATGTTAGGAGAAAGGCTAGATGCGCGCCACATCACGCCCTCTCACAAGAGGGTGGGGTCTGCAATTTTAAAAATCACAGGCCCCCACCCCCTTTGTGAAGAGGACTGTGAAACTGAATGTACATTTTGGTGGGGATTAAAATCAAATTTTTAATCGATTTTGATTTAAAAAAATGTTGAAATGTGTGATTAAAAAGTGACGAGTTTCATGAAATATACGGTTTAAATGAATTATTGATTTTATTTCGGATTAAAATTTAATTTTTTTATTCTTACCTAACAGGGCATTAGTAACGGGAACGTTGGAAAGTAAAACTATGACTAGCGAAGAAAGTGAATTAAAATGCAGTGAGTTTTGAGGCAAATATAAGCTGAATGACTCAATTGAGATTAATATGAGATTTGCTACACAAACATAATGCTTGACATAAGGGATGACACTCCACACACACATGGCAGATGTCGACATTTTTTAATTTAGATCTGGATCTACATGTAATGTGAGAGATCAATCAATTCCTATATCAAGTACTATGTTCATTCAACTTAATTCTATATGGAATTGCCCTTTCAAGATGAACATCAATCATCATACTGCCAAAAATATATAAAAAAAAAAAAAAAGTCGTGGGCCTAAGCATTGATTGTGATTCATGACCTGAGATTTCAAATCAACCGTCCACAAATATCTTACTGATATGAGGGCCACATCGACGGACAAAAACACATGCCACAGACCCAATCACCCTGCACCTTGTGGCCCCAGCATTCTCTTACATGATCTCAGAAATATAAAAATTTCACTATTGGTCACCAAATTATTATTTGAATAACAATTCAGTTCACAACTTTTAAAACGAAACAAGCTAATCTTCGACAATTTATTTTAATTATAATTATACCATCAGGTCTCAAACAAAAGTAAAGTTTTGCACTTCATTACGCGTACGTTTGAGACCAATTGAAAAATGAGATACTAACCAATTTCATTTTCTGCATCAGTGGGATGTCATGACATTGAATGACGTCGTTTATTGTGAGAAAAACACAATACTCAATTGACTTTGGGGAGATGGTTGTAGGTCCAAAATTGTACTTTCCCAATTTACCCTTCAAATAAATGGTGGCCACTGCCATGTTTTTGTTTACGGTTTTCAAATGGAGGGGGAGGGTTATTTCTGGAAATTGATTTTAAAAATGAGGGTATTTTGGACCTTTTGGGTGTCGACGTCTTATGTGAAATGCAAAATGTCTGACAAATGTTCCGTGCACTTTGTAGTTTTTAAATATTTAATTTACCGTTGAGAAATGAGAAAGCTCGTTAAAATCTCATTTTAATGATATTCAAACATGCGTTAAATTTTACGTTATTCTTAGTTACAAGTCTACCTTTATAAAGTTGAATTTTGCCTTTTAATTCAGTTCATACCCAAAAATTGATGCGACGTGTTTCTCATTAAGGTTACACGATTAACGAAATTTTAATTAATTTTCGTCATTGGAGGCTGAGCAAGGAATTATAATGAAAATTGTCGACTAGCTTTTCTTTTCAAATGGTGAAAAATCAACTCAATATAGAGACAATAGGTTAAGGACTAATACTACAATTTACTCCCACATATCAACCTGGACATAAATCAATTACTGTGGACGCATCCACGTGCAATAGAACTCGAAATACCTTTAAAAAGTTACCGTTGAGATTTTGGATAATTCTTGTTGTACACTTTTATGTACAACAAGTTTGACACTCCTTTCACATGAGGGGTGAGGTCCGTGATTTTTAAAATCGTGGGCCACCCCCATGTGTGGGGAGTGTCAAACTAGATGTACACAAAAGCATTGTTCTGAGATTTTTGATATTCAAACTTGCTCGTTTGGTTCTCATTTTCACCCAAAAAATGCATTATTTCTATTAACATAGGGTTCCACGTGCTGACGTGCATTTTGAATTGATTAGTGCAATTTTTAACTTCCCTGAAATAACCCCATTCGCCTTCAACGGCCCACCGTAGTTGAAGTGCTCACTGTAGAGAGTAGTAAAAGGGTTATTCTTGTTGTACATATTAATTCTTGTTGTACACTTTTGTGTACAACAAGTTTGACACTCCCTTCACATGAGGGGTGAGGTCCGTGATTTTTAAAATCGTGGGCCACCTCCATGTGTGGGGAGTGTCAAATTAGATGTACACAAAAACATTGTTCTGAGATTTTTGATATTCAAACTTGTTCGTTTGGTTCTCATTTTCACCCAAAAAATGCATTATTTCTATTAACATAGGGTTCCACGTGCTGACGTGCATTTTGAATTGATTAGTGCAATTTTTAACTTCCCTGAAATAACCCCATTCACCTTCAACGGCCCACCGTAGTTGAAGTGCTCACTGTAGAGGGTAGTAAAAGGATTGGAGTGTAAAAAGTTGTTTGTGTACAATAACATGTCATGTACATTGTCAGTGGACTGAACATGTAACATTCTCATTTTTCCTAAAATAGGAGTGTAAAAAATGGGCAACAAACGGGCAAATACTATGATCATATCTCTTCAGCATTTGAAGTCAAATATAAAAATATTCATTCATACCCGTGTAGTTCTTCCATATGAAACTAGACCCTTACTTCAATTTAGCTATTTTCTTTCACCTCAATTGTTAATCAATGGCGGCAAAAGAGTTTGTGGCGTTCCAATTTTGCGACTTCAGGAGTGTTTGTCAAAACTTATGATAATTTTTTAGCAGATTTGGGTAAGAGTTAATGAAATGTTTGATTGAAAAGTTGATTAAAATTAATTATTGACTTTTAAGTAACTTTTTAAGCTATCTTGAACATGCACTTTAGGTACAAGGGGGTCGATGAGGACATTCGCAAGGCCAAGCTCTGCCCATGTGCCCCTTCTTGTATGTACTTCCCATCCTTTATGAAGAAAGAAATTTAGAACATGGGTTTATTCAATTTCTTTGATATTGGGTTTTTGAATTCTCCTTATTTTGGAAACTTTCTTAATTCCAAGATATACTACTTTCGATTTGTTCAATCTCCTTTTTCCTTTTCACATCTTGAAGATGACAAGATCTCATGTGTTCAATTTTTCAATAGGCACTACTACCAATGTCGCTGAACATTTATCCGAGTCCTCGAAGAAAAGGAAAAGTTGGTGGTTGAGAGCGGATACCGTTCGGTTACATTACAAACTTATAACCATCTCGTATGTATTTTATTCTCAATTTAGATGAAGAATGTTGTTTATTCAAAACTACTTGACTAGTGTAGCATGTTTGTATGGTCCTAACAATTGCATATAGGTAATTATATTAACACCATAATTTTTATTTCTTACTCCACATTTTAATTGCACTTACGGTTCTTCATATTTGCTCATTATAGCACTTATGTCCCTAAAGATTTTTCACGTCATTAATATCCTCAAACTTTTCATTAGTTAACATATTTTGTATTTGATAACAATTATATGTCCAAAAATTCGTTGAAATTGAGTAAAACAACTTATTTTTTCATCATATTTTTAAAAAAATAAATGAATGAAAAATGTAAAAAAAATATTTTAGCCTCATTTCAAAGCATGGAAATAAAATATTTTTATATAAATTATCATCAATGACGATAAGTACTAATTAATGAAAGGTTGAAATTATGAATTTGACCAAAAAAAAGTTAAAGAAATAATTGCTACAATTAGCAAAGATTGGGAAATTTAACTGCAACTAAAATGTGGTATATCAAATAAAAATTGTAGTGACAATATAATCACTCATTACGTATAGGTCATCTTAAATTTCAAAATTACAAAAATATAAAACAACACGTTTTGCCACAGTGAATAAGAAATAACGTGAAATTTATATAATTTCAAGTTCTTCTCTTTACTATAATTTCTTTATAATATCAATACAATCATTTTTTCGAGTTCTTGATTGTGATCAAGGAACAGAAGAGGAATGTACAAAGAAAAAGGCATCAGAGATTATATAGAAGAATTTAATCGTCATCATAACAGCTTTCATGTGAGAATGTAAAGAAATACTATATACCAAGTTGAACGAATTCACAAGTTTTGGGATAAAATTCGATATCTGAAAATTTGGAGATCAAAAGTAGATGAAATAAAAACCTTGGGGGTCACTTGAACACTTTCAGAATTTGAGGGACCGAGATTGAAGAGCTTGAAAGTTATAGGACTAAAGTGGACATGTTTGGATGTTCATGGACCAACATGGACATAATGGAGAGTGGATGTCCAAAGTTAGAATATTTTGGCATCTCCAACGATAGTGTGAAATTGATCTAAATTATGATTTAGATTTCAAAGTGACCGAAAATCTCTTCAATTGAGAGATGCAAAAGGAATGCAAATTGCATTTTTTCATTAAAAAAAAATGTAAAAAAAAAAAAAAAGAAAGGGATATACAAGAGACAAAAAGTGAATTTAGATCTTCACACAAGAGCTAAAAAATGAATTTAGATCCACCAAAATGTAAATATGGACTGCGAGCTTGGCTTCGTGATCGCATATAGGACCACTTAAGTAAGGGTAATTGTCTATTCTGGCCCAATTCTAGAAATTCTGATCTTTAATCTAAAATTAAGGACAATTTTAGCCCCTGTTTGACATCCATTTTAATGCTTATTATTATTATTATTATTTTAAAAAATAAATTTTAGAATAGTGATTTTTTAAAGAATTTGTAGCTAAAAAGTTTTAAATTTACATGTAAAATAATGTATTGTGTAAATGAGCGGTTGAAAATAAGTTTGAGAAAAAAGAATTTTTATTTAGTCATGTTCGATAAAAATTAAAATTCAGATTTTAATATGAGTCAAAGTTAACAATTAATTTTACTCATATATTTTATAAAACTCGCAACTTATCCATTTCATCAATTTTATCAAAATATGCTAAAAATTTAATTTTAATTCCTACTAAATCAGGACTTAATTGTGTAAATGTGTGATTGAACATTACTATTTTCGAGGCACACTTATCAAAGCATATAGAAGGCTATGTGAGGAGTTAGTCCAGGTTAAAAAAAAAAAAAGCATTGCCTCGTAGAAATCAACTAATAAACACAAATTATCAACTCATGTTTTAATTAATTCTTTAGGATTTGTCCTTGTTAAGCTCCTCTTCGGTGACGGTGAAAATTGAATTTTTAGTAAATTTTGATAAAAGTTGATGAAATGTGTGGCTGTAAATCTTATAAAAAATGTGATTTAACTCCTGTTTGTTCTACTTTTTTTTCCCCATTTGTTTAAATATTATGACCGTTGCACAGTAAAGCAGTCGACATTTTTGACCTCCTTTGTGTGATAATGGAGCCCAGTTGTTTGAAAAAAAGGGTCAAAAATTTTTAAGAATGGGAAAAAATGCAGAACAAATAGGGGCTTAAATGAATTGTTGACTTTAATTTAAATTTTAATTTCCACCAAACAGTGGCTAAATTTATTGTATTGACATGATTGATTTATTTTTATATTTGTTAACGAGAGTTAAATCACATAATATTTATTACCGGTTAAATCGAGAGATTGTACGCTAGACTTCTAGCTATTTCTTTTAAATGGTTTCTATCTCATTATTCATTCACTCCGTTATTATAAAATTGCTGAGTTGAGTCGAGCTTTTGTCGATACGCTCTTCCCCAATTGTGTTGAAAAAGTTGGTATTGGACTGCTTTCCTTGGCTATTAATTAGAAAGATCGAGCTCAAAATTCAAATATTAATTGTGCATGCTTTGTTAAAGGTATTATTAATTGAGGCAAAATCGATAATCAATCCTTGTGGGATAATACACTACTCATTTTATATTGCTTTTAATGTCCACTCGTGAGATAAATTCAAAGCACAATCCTCGGAAACCCAGAAATTACTGTAGTATAATGAAATTTATCAAAATCCTAGTTGGAGACAAGTAGAATTATACATACATTTAAAATCCATTAAAGCTCGAGTTCATGACACCCTTACATCATCATTAGATTGTCATTAATGTCGTGATTCCACCTTCTTAGAGGATGTTTGGCGGAAATTAAAATTAGATTTTTGGTGGACTGTGATAGAAGTTTTTGAAATATGTGGTTGAAAAGATGTGGAACCCATCAAAGATGTGGTTAATATTGATTGTTTGATTTTGACTTGGATTAAAATTTGATTTTAATCCGGCTCAAACAGGCACTTAGTTTTTTGTTTGAATATTTCCATTAATCAGTCAACATTAACTCTTAAATGCAATAAGCCACAGAGATTTGCCACACGAATTATCATTAACAAACCCCCAAGAAACGAGGATGACACCTTAACATCTGACGTCGACTCTTTTTCATCACTTCAAATGTCAAGCTGTCATCATTTGAATGGTTTGGTATTCGATGTGTCATGATTTGAATTGATAGTCTTGTTGTCATGTATGCTTGTAAAATTTGTTCTATATATATTGAAGTTTTTCTCCCAATAAACATACTTTTATGCAACAAAACTTGCTCAATTTTCACTTCACTACTTTTTCCATTCCGGCTCACATGGGGGCTGGTTTCTGGGTTTTTTCTCTTTGCCACCTTCTTCTCTCTGTAACAACTGCATCTCTACATCAGCAAGCGTTCATCAGAGCCCAAGATGAGAAAGAAAAGCCATCAACCGGTTGTGATCTCTTTCAGGGAAGTTGGGTTTTTGATAATTCTTATCCACTTTATGATTCATCCCAGTGCCCTTTCATTAATGGTGGATTGAATTGCCAGAAGAATGGCAGACCTGATAAACTGTACCTGAAGTACAGATGGAACCCTACTGGTTGTAACATTTCTAGGTAAGAATGATTTCACTGTATATTTGGATATTTTTAGTATTTAGTGGATGATCATGATCGTGGCGCAGATTTAATGGTAAGGATTTGCTGCAAAAATTGAGAGGTAAAAAGATGATGTTTGTTGGAGATTCATTGAGCTCCAACCAGTGGGAATCAATGGGGTGCATGCTTCATGCTGCGGTCCCAAATTCCAATTACAGCTTTGAATCACGAGGACTGCTCACCACTATTTCCTTCAAGGTAATTATTAAGAAACTTCTAGAAGAAAAGTATGTCACGTCATATTATAATATTATAATATAGGAGAATTTCTTCTGCACTCCAAAAAAACTGATATAGTTTTCCTTTATTTTGGAAGGATTATGGAGTCTCGGTTTCTTTCTTGAAAAATGGGTTTCTTGTAACCCAAGAAAACATAACACTGAAACTTGATACCCTAAGCATGACTGAACAGTGGAAAGAAGCCGACGTATTGATATTCAACAGCTATCACTGGTGGTTACACACCGGCAAACTTCAGACGTGAGTTCAAATAACATAGGAAAATGCTATTTGTACAATCGAGATTGACAACCTCTCACATGTGTGGAGGGTCCACATGTTTAAACAATTCAAAAAAAAAAAAAAAAAAAAAGACCCCCCATGTGAGTGGTTATCAACCTTGATTGTACAATTAGCATAGTCCAATAACATATTACTATTCTTTTAAAATCTCGAGTTGATTATTGGTTTACGTGATAGTGGAGTCACTGTCATATCATCCAATGAACTTTCAATGCACATTGTGTTTTGTATTGCAGATGGGACTACTATCAAATCGGTGAGAAAAAGACATGGATCGTATGGGAGCATACAAAACAGCCTTGACTACTTGGGCTAATTGGGTCGATTCTAACATTGATACTGCCAACACCAAGGTGTTCTTCCAAGGAATTTCCACCATGCATAATCGGTAAATTTTTGTGCCATCGTCAGTCTTATATATGTCATTTTCGAGTGTCAATTTATTAGAATGTATGCCTACGGGCTGTGTGTTTATTTGCTGTTTATCAGTGGCTACGACTGGAATGAACCACAAGTGCAGAATTGCACCGGACAAACGAAACCCATAGAAGGGTCGAATTTCCCCGGTACTAGACCTGCCGGTGATGGAGTCGTGAAGAGCGTATTAAGTAGCATGAAAAAGCCGGCATATTTACTCGACATTGTTTTGCTCACTCAGTTAAGAAAAGATGGGCACCCATCAAAATATGCTGATGTGCCATTGGATTGCAGTCACTGGTGTCTTGCTGGTGTTCCAGATACTTGGAATCAACTCCTGTACACAATTCTCATGGAGAAGTAAATTTTCATAGTTTAAATTTAATTATGTAATAAAAGAAAGACAGCCCAAATCTCGAGGCAAAGTGAGTTTTATGAACAAACTCTATTATGCATAAAATGTTCTTAGTAGCTTCTAAATCATAATTTACAACCACCATCCCTTTTAGATTGATATACATATGAATTATACACATTGTGATAGCAAGTGTCTAGGCAAATACACTTTTAATGTTGGAGCCCCGGAAGAGAGTCCAATTGCATCTCCACGTTGAATAGAATGAACAACGTGGGAGCCATCAATATATATGTTTCCCTCTCTACAAAACCAGGTAATATCCATTATCTCTTCGGGCTCCACGAGCCCGTGCATCGAATGAGCGCTAGCCCCTGGAGAAATGGGATCCCTTACCATGTATTGTAGTTCCTTGGACAAAATGGGCATTGTAAATCCACCAGCTGAAAGCATTGCAGCTGTTGATCCGGCAGCAGTCGAGACCCTAAGCCCACTTGATCTACAGTTCAGTAAAGAAGAAGATGTTCCATTTTTCCAGATCCTAATAAGTAATAACACAAGAATATCGACTAACACTACGTTAGTTCGTGGTGACACATTAGACCAATATACCATTCTTGATGCTGTAAAGCAAATATTCTTACCTGAACGATAATCGAGAAACATTTGCAGGACATGGATGCGTGACTAGAATGTCATTTAGAGCAAAAGTTGAAATCAGCTTTGAGTTGACACTAATAGCCATCCTAGACACTTCAGAAGGCTCACTGTGATTCTCGAGGATGTCATTCAGTAGCTACAGAAATAAGCTTAAATCAATAAGATATGCTCCATAAAAGTTTGTTACCAAGAATTACAAGAAAAATAAATTTCTTCTTGTGCATGGCTGTATGGTTTATTGTGCTAGCTAAAAAAACTGAAATGTGCAGAAGAAACTTCATGAAAAATCGGTGTGCACTCTATCTGGAAAATTTTGTTCAATCATGTGCACCCAAAGCAAGTCAATGTTTATGTGGTCCTAGATTGTGCCTGCCTTATTAACTTATTCTAAATTGAGTGGATGTGGATCGAGAAGAAAGATGAATACTAGACACTCTTATATCTTGACATGATTGTGCAGAAGAAACTTAATGAAAAATCAGTTTGCACTCTATCTGGCAAATTTTGTTCAATAATGCGCACCGAATGTTTAGGTGGTCCTATATTGTGACTGCATTATTAACTTATTCTAAATTGTGTGGATGTGGATCGAGAAGTGAGATGAATATTAGACATTCTTTATCTTGACAAGATTGCAAGTTAATAGGAAAACTAATGTTTATGACAAGTTATATATTATCAGCTGACATCGTGTTTTCTGTGTAATCAATTTATGTCCAAAAGAAGAAACATGTACATGACTTGAGAAAGAGAATTCTCATTCTTTGTTCTCTTATGTTTCCTTCTATTTACATATCACTTCAACAAAATAGAGAAGGCATAGCTATTCAGAGTTAAATTGCCTTTCCTTAAACTTGAAGAAATCAGTCGTACAGTGGGATTTATGTTCATATAGAGTGGAAAGTACTTAATATATATAGATACTGTATCTTGGGAATGATAATGTCAAATCTAATAAGCCCTCAGGTCCATTCAAAAATAATTTCAATGAATCACAGTAACCCAAAGCGACTAAGATGTTTACAATCCTTTCAAAGTAGTTGAAAGACAGGTGTAGTATTTTATAAATTTGTCCATCTTCCTAATATGATGTTCTCCATATAATTATTCAGCATAGTTGACAATTCTACACTTTCACTATTTTCAAATGGATGCCTATATGAAATAGCATAATACGCGGTATAGATGCATCCTAGATGTCCTTCTAGTCGGACTCTTGTCCAAAGGAAACATATTAGGCAAATCACCTTGGGTTGAAAATTTGAAATTATCAAATTTAAAGAGCACATGTTTTTCTGAGTATCAGGAGTATGTATAACATTCAATATAATAAGAAAATAGTTGATCACACTAAGGTCCTTAACTTCTGATGAGTAGCTCTAAATTCCCAAAATATTTTGAAATTCCATTCTTCATTTGCTCCAATTACTTGTGTTTTTGCTGAAATATAAGAAGTTATTTATCTATTTAATGAAGGATGCAAATCTGAATCTCATATATTTGGAACACTAGAAGTTCTCTAGTGAACACACCTATAGACGACAAATGATGCCAGTTCTTCCGTTTTTCGAGCAGAATCATCGACTGAATAAGAGTTGGAACGATCACAAGCTTATCTAATAATTTAACTATATTGGTTAAAATCTTAAAGTTCAATTCCAGATAAAATACCACAAGAAACTAAGAGTTATTCCCAACAAATTTGGAGTGGGTGGGTGTTCTAAGAGAGAAAAAGTAATGGCTAAAGTAGCTGTCTCACTCGTTCAAAGTTGTAGGTTGTTCCTGCACAAAGATACCCAGTGCTCCTTGTAGCATCAAATTCTTCACTGAATTCTTCCACCTAAGTAAATAAGACAAACTTTTTTGGCTAAGGGAAGCTAAAAATGAATTTCTATATTTTTCTCTAAGTTCAAAACTTGGAGTTTATTACCAGAAGCTGGACTTATCTAAACTCGAAATAAACAAAGAGATCCAAAAAATGAGCTGACCTCTTCCTGTTGGGTGGGATCAGAATTCACTCCTAGAACTGGAATCGAATCATCCATGAAATGGCTTGCCTGTAATAATGTACCATCACCTCCAATTGAAATGACCAGATCAACACCACGGATTGACTGAGATAGATCATTCCGAAAAACAGCTTTCCACTCAACAGCCTTTTTCTTCAAAATATTCTGACAGAAGCTTATTGCATTTTTGTGAACCAACCTCCGGTCATCTAGATAACTCAATACCTTCAACATCTTCAAGAGAAGAAAATCCATATTAAGTGCAGATTAATTTTGAAGAAGTGGAATGAAGCCACATGGGAAGCATAAGTTTTGAAGTACACAGTCGACTACCATTGGTTGGACTATTGAGATTTTGACTAAATAAGACTTGGACTATTTTTTTTAATCTATTGAATACCTAGAAGTCCTAGGGGGCGGTGGAAGATAAGTGGAATAAAATCACGAGGGTATATCAAATTATACATGTTGTAAATCCAAACCAGAATGATAGTGTACCGTAAATATATTAAAGATTTCTAATGAAACAGTGTAACTGGGAAAACAAGGGATCGCAATACCCTCAGACAAATTGTAGCAGCCAAACAAATAAAGTGAATATTTTTCCTAAAATCTTAATCATATCATTCCCCAAAGGTCGTCACGAAGTTTCAAGCCACACGACTGTAACTAAATCATGTTCAAATGCATATACCAGTAGGAACATTTAAATTTTTTGTTGGATCAGCAACTGACCACAATATTCCTGAATGAATGATAATTCCACTAGGAGAAACTGGTCAAAAAATTATATGCTCCAGGAAAGCAAGTGTGCAAAGTAAAGGGGGCGACTTAACACAACGGTTTACCATCTGAGAAACTCTTAACTCGAGAACTATGCATAAAGTAGTATACCTTGAATGAGAAGGAAAGGATATAGCTTATTTTTTATTAAATTGATATTTTATTTTATTATATATTTATAAGATTGGATATAAGTGAAATTCATTCAAGAGGATCACTCGTCTTGATTCACTTAGATGAAACCACAATTGATCTAAAATTGAGTTTTCCCCATTTGCTCAATCAAGTTTATTTTCCTCTATAGCCATGTTCTTCACCAGCAGCCCCAAATCACTTGGCAACTCATAGCATTGCGAACCTAAAGAAACAACACTCTCAATTCAATCATATATGACTTAAATGCATACCTCAACACTGTTCCTTCACAAAATATCACAGTAACGTAAAATACTGTTATGATTTATGCACTGTTACTTTTCCTAAACAGCGATCTTGAAATATTATCTAATAGATAATATAGTCTATACTATATACACGAGTGGGCTTTTATCCTAAAAAAGCAATAATCGTTGAAGAAAATTAGTGGGTTTTTGCCCCCTTTTGTTCTGCATTGAAGTAGTGTCGAGGAATCGTTACCTTATTGTGGTTGGAGGATAGGGCGATGGATTCATGAGATGGGTACACGTCGAATGGCTTTAACAGCAGCAGCAATCGCTTCCGCGCCATTTTTTCCCCTTCAATTTTCTGCCTCTCCTCGTCTAATACACACGCTGTTACGGTTACGAGATGGAGGAATTTGCTGGACAAAGAATGCGAATTAGAGAAAGTTGTTGAGCGAATACGAGTTTTATATTCTTCTTATTTTCTGTTATTTATTTGTTTCCTTTTCATTTTCTGTAGTTTATACTTAAAACAAAAGTATGGGCTTGATTTATCGTATTAATACTTCGATGTGACAACTCAGGTCTTTGTAGAAATTTTGGATTCAAATTTTGAGGAACGCAAAAAAAAATATGTGATGTCAAAATTGGAGCTCAGATTTGTGTCACATCCAATCGAAACACATCATCCAAAGGAAATCACGATGAATTTATCAAAAAAATCCATCGAAGAATCTTCACCGGAAAAACAAGTCATTCCTCTCTATATTACTCTTGTTTTTGCCAAGTCCAAGTGATAACAAGGGAAGTGACCTTCTATTATAGGATCAAAGCAAATAAATTTAAAATCAATGTTCGTGAAAGAGACGGCGAGAGACCACAAAATAATGTTCAATCGTTAAATTTAATTTAACGTCCACAATCTTTGAAGTGGACGACATGTCAAATCTATATGACATCGCGAGCCAGCTCTCACTCACGAGCCATAAATAAATAAAAATTTAATTTAAGTAAAAATGAAACAATAATAAGACCACACATACGCTCCTCCGACTTTGAAGAACATGGTCCATTCAGTGCATATAGATAGATACTCACGTGAATCCTGCGTCAAAGTTGAGTGACTGAAGTGGACCTTTCGATCAATTTAAAAATATTAAAATATGATATTTGTTTTTTATTTATTTCACGTTCTATAATATTAATTATATATTTTTTATTCTACGACACGCGTACACACGTGTGTGTGCTTGTTTTGCTGAGGTGAGTAAGCATTGAACAAGAATATTTAAGTACCTTAAATAATTTCAGTTCCTTGTGAGCCAAAAACTGGTTTCATTTGCATGGCTTTGCGGCTCTACTTTTTTCCTTGTAAAGCTAGCGCAAAGATTCACTTTTGCTGCCTCTTTATTTCCGCCCATGCTATATCTCAGCCACCTGGTGAATTTTTCAGCCACTATTTCTTTACTCTTTACTCTTTTTCACCTTAAATGAACCAATTCTTGGTTTTCACTCTAGACAGCTGAGAGTTTATTACAGAATCGAGGATCGGGAGAGGGTTTGAGATCCAATTCCGTAAAGCCCGTGACTTGTTTTGCTTTGCATTACTTTAATTCCGATGTTTCTTGAATTGGGGCACTTTCGAGTTGCTTTTTTATATGGGGGTTTCTAGTTTTTGGTTAATTGGTTGTTTAATCTGTATATAAATGCTGATTTTGAAGTTGATTTTTTTACTGAGTTAAAAACACTGTCCATCACTTGTTTGCTTTGCATTGCTTTTATTTCACTGAATTTTGAACTCTTGTTGCTTTCTGGAAGTGTTTAGATTTGTTGTTTAATCTGGAATTTCCGATGACTTTGAAGATGATTTTTTACTTAATTAAATACACTATTTGTCCTTGAAGTTTAAGGAAGAAATTCATTTCGTTTCAACTTTCAAATTAATCAATTTATCCTTGAAATTTTGCAGTTTAATCCTTCCGGTCTTCATCTGCCACGCTAGTCACTCCTGAACTCGGATACTCCTCAATTCACACATAACACTGACGTGAACTTCCCCGTTTATTGTAATTTTTTCATTGAAAATAAATTTTGAAGTGTATTGCACAAAATAATGGTAGTAACCCAAGTAAAATTTCACATAAATTTGAGTAACCAGCAATTTTATTCATCTTAGGTGTTCCCCTTAATTAGTTTAATTTAGTGACAATTGATAAATGAGTCATTTTCCTCCATTACTTCATATACATGTGTACTTTATTTGTTGATTTGTTAGATCTGCTGTTGTTTTTTCTGTTGTTGTATTGAACTAAACTAATTTTCCATCTGATACAATTCTGTTGATCCCACTTTCTTTGATATCTCTTTGTTTTGCTCATCCACCTTCCTCTAGTGTCAATTTTGATAGGTAAATGTGCAAATGCTTTTTAATATCTTCATTCAATAGTGATAAAAATCTAATCCCTTTCTAATGAATTTGATATGTGCACTTTTTTTGTGACAAATTTTCTATAATGAATTATCTGTAATGTCCTAGCTGTGATAATTTTGTTGTTGATTACTTCTCAATCAATGAAAATCAAATGCAGGGCGATTGCTTTTGTTGATGCTCGAACTGTAATAAATCCGTTTTGCTGGTCTTCTTCTGAAGTGCCAATATGCCTGGGAACAAGTGTAATGACAACTCACAAGTCCTCAATACTCGGATAGCGAGGCTCTTGAGAGAAAGAGAGCTAAGAAGAAGCAGCAGAGCTTCTTCTTCAAGTGATGGTACTGATGGCAACAGAGGGTCTGAGGTCTCTGAGAACGATATCTCAGATTTGGAAGACATTGCACAAGCACATAGTAAAGGGTGGGAAAATCCTGACGTGAGGCCTACCAGACAAAGATTGTTAGTGGTTGCTAATAGACTTCCCGTATCTGCAGTTAGGAAAGGTGAAGATTCCTGGTTGCTAGAGATAAATGCAGGGGGTCTAGTAACCGCTCTTCTTGGTAAGGATTTTGGTAGATAGTTTCATTTTCATACGAGTTTTTCTTTTCAATTTACTTTACGAATTATCTATGGTTTTTTGTTTTTCAGCATGTCACATTTGGCCCCATTTGTTCGGTCTAAATTCAAATGCTTGTAAGTGTCACTTTTTGTAGGAGTTAAGGAATTTGAGACACGGTGGATTGGTTGGGCAGGAGTAAATGTGCCAGATGAGGTCGGGCAGAAGGCTCTTACTAAAGCTCTAGCTGAAAAGGTAAAATAATCATGGGTTTATGGCTTGATTGGTAATAAATTGTAAAACAAAGAGCATGTTTGGCTAAGCTTTTAAAAGCTAAATTACTTTTAAATTACTTCTAGCCACTACACTTGTTTGGACAATTTTTTTCTTTCTTTCTTAATTTATGTAAAAAAAAGTTTGAAAGTATCACCAATAATGAGTTTATTTTAAACTTCTTTACTTACAAGTTAATCTTTTGGCTTAGCCAATGCGTTTTTAAGCCTTTATAAACAATAAATTTCATATGATACTTGTACTCAACATTACTGTTTCATTTTCTTTTAATTAACACATGCAGAGGTGCATCCCTGTTTTCCTTGATGAAGAAATTGTTCATCAGTACTACAATGGCTACTGTAACAACATATTGTGGCCTTTGTTTCACTATCTTGGACTTCCACAAGAAGACCGTCTTGCGACAACTAGGAGTTTTCAATCACAGTTTGCTGCATATAAGAAGGCAAATCAAATGTTCGCTGACGTGGTGAACAAACACTACGAAGAGGGTGATGTTGTTTGGTGTCATGACTACCATCTCATGTTCCTTCCGAAATGTTTGAAGGAACATAACAGCAAAATGAAAGTTGGGTGGTTCCTACACACACCCTTTCCATCTTCAGAAATCCACAAGACACTGCCATCTAGATCAGAGCTGCTAGATGCAGTTATAGCTGCCGATTTGGTTGGGTAAATTTTCGTTATCACCTCAGTAGTGGATAATAACGTTTAACATTTTACACTGGTTATAATGATTGAAAATTTTTCTTCCTGGTCGTAGACTACTGGGCTCATAAGATATTCAGAACTGAGATAGCTCGTCTAATACATGGGAAAACAATCATCTTTCTTTTTTTCTTTCAGTTTTACTTGAAAAATGCTATAATATTTGCTTAATGTACAATTGCTGAGCATGTTTTTTCCCCGAATGTAAGTAGCTCGAAACTGGCAGATACTTCTATAGTTCTTCTATCTATATGTATATTTTGTTCACATAGCATTATTCTTCCAACTGCCTAGCAGGTTGGCTTAAGCCATTTTGCTCTCTTGTAACCAGTAGGTATTAAGTAGTAGGAAGTACTCCAAAATTTACTTTTTGCTTATATCTAATAATTAGTTAATAAAATTTTGTGGAATAAACTTTTTTCAATATCCCGAGATTATTACTTCCTGCAATCAATAATTATTTTTTGATAGTTTCCTAGCATTATACGTTACAATGAGAATTTTAATTTTCTGTGCTATTTTAATGGTGTTCATTGTGTGCATTTGTGTGTGAGGAACTAAATTATTTGATTCTGTATGTCAATTAATTATATATTTATGTAAAAAGTGAGTTTTCACAAAGTAAATTCAAAATAGTCCATGGAGGCATAATAAGCATGTGGCATGAGAAATTGTATTCCCTTGGGGATCAAAATAGTTAAGGTTATATTTATGATCTGTACAAGGAGTTCATCTTTTGTTTCCACCACACTAGCAAAAGTGGGTCCTTCAATAGCTCCAAAAAAAATGCATAATTATCTCATTTCATGGGTTTTCTCCCTCTAGTTTAAACAGTAACTGTTCATATCAGTCTTCTGAACAGGTGCATTTAGTTAGTTTTTGTCATGTTTCCAAACTTCAAACCATGTTTAAAGTTTTTATGCCTTCTCTTTCTTTATGCTCATGATATATGTAAGTACATAATATTGCACGCTTAGTTGAATTCGGTTTTTTAATCCCAGTGCTTCCACATTGTCTTCTTTTCGCCGCTGCATTTCACTGAGATTTTCTTGTGGAGCTCACTAACCAATATGATTTGAGTTTATTTCCAGTTTCCACACATACGATTATGCACGACATTTTGTCAGTGCTTGTACTCGCATTCTTGGAATTGAAGCTACCCCTGAAGGAGTAGAGGATCAAGGCAGACTAACCCGTGTGGCTGCGGTATGTTCACATCATTTGTTTTAGTGTATTGCTCTGTTGTTGATATTCATATTTTTGTTCCTTCTAGATCTTTTCATAAAAGCCTATAAATTGTCTGCTTCAGTTACTCAATAACTGATCTCTGTTCACATATTCCTCCTATACTTTTGTATTCAGTTCCCAATTGGAATTGATTCAGAGAGATTCATTCGAGCTCTTGGAGTTCCTGAAGTCCAGAAACACGTGAAAGAATTAAAAGAAAGATTTGCTGGAAGAAAGGTTTTGCTCTCTCTCTCTCTCTCCACCTCCCCCCTCCCCCTCCCCTTCCTCTCAATCTCCCCTTTTCCCATGTGTCTGTGTATCTTCAGGCATTATCCTTTCCTGCTGGTGGTCACAGCAGCTATCCAGAATCTAGATATTATCTTTTAGTTAGATGAAATTTGGGTCATTTCGCTTGTGCAATTAGTAAACTGTAACCTTGAAGGAGACAATAGTAAGTATAAGCTTATCAATCAGATGCAACTTATAAATGTTAGATACGTAGATGAGTTTTGTTCAACTTTATTTTTATTTCCAATCTAATTATTATTATTGTTATTGTTATTGTTTCTTACAGGTAATGCTTGGTGTGGATCGCCTTGACATGATCAAAGGAATCCCTCAAAAGCTACTAGCGTTTGAGCAGTTTCTTGAGGAAAACCCAAACTGGCGTGATAAAGTGGTTTTGCTGCAAATAGCCGTGCCAACAAGAACTGATGTTCCTGAATGTACCGTTTATGCACTCTTAAGTCTTATTTGTATTTCATATTCCTTCCAATCAGTTTTTTATCTTCCCTGGAGGCTTATGTCTCCAAGATATATTATTAAGTCACTCTTATATGTTCTCAACAGATCAAAAACTTTCAAGCCAGGTCCATGAAATTGTTGGGCGGATCAATGGCAGATTTGGAACTTTGACTGCTGTTCCAATTCATCATTTGGTGAGTATTTCCTCTAGGTTATCATCATCTATTCAGTTTATGCCACTTAATACGCATCGACATGCACACACATACATAAATGATTTTGTGGCAAACAATTTTTGGTAAAGTCAATGCAACTTGCTCCACACTTTCTCTATTTAACTACAGTTCTTCAGAATGGGGCTTTAACATTTTAGTAATAGTAGGAATAAGGATGATAGTGAAGTTACTATAAAGGATCATGTAGTCCTCAAAACTCAAAGTTTAAGGTATTTAGGGTCGATTACTAAATGAAGGAGGAACTAACGATGATGTAATGTATAGGATTAGAGTGGGTTGGATGTAATGGTGAAGTGCTACAGAATTTCTAGTGATAGAAAAGATCTTGTAAGGTAAAAGGCTAGTTTCATGGAACAATGGTTAGACATCTTATGATTTGCGGTACTGAGTGTTGGGCTCTTAAAGGAAAAAAATGTCCATAAGATGAATATAGCAGAAATGCGGATGTTAATATAGATGTCTTGGCATACTGAATGGATAAGATAAGAAATGATAACATATATGCTTACAGGTGGAGGAGGCATCAATATGAGAATAAATTAAGGGAAAGATGACTTAGTTGATTGAACATGTTTTGCATGGATGTGGAGAGGGTTAGACGAAATTAGCATTGCCAATTGTTGTTGCTAAGGATATTTTAGTAGATCTAGCAACGAACCCAACGGACTGCAGGAAAAGGATTCAGTTAGCCGAGCTTAAATTCATTGGGAACAAGGTTTAGTTTGTTCCTATTGTAATGAGTAAAAAAAATTCTATATGTTAAGTGTAGGCTGTGACTTTGTAAAGAAAGATTAAGCTCGACTTTCTTTACCCATTTTGTTTATAGCATGTCAGTCGTATTTTCATACTGAATGTGGTTGACTTCTATACGTTATGGTTTTGTGTGCATTTTAGAGATAATTGAAGCAGATTTTTTTGTCGACAGGATCGTTCTCTTGACTTTCAGGCACTGTGTGCACTGTATGCTGTTACCGGTAATAATAGTTGCCTTTTTTTTTTCTTTTCCCATATAGCAAAATATTTTTGGCATTTCTTTATCTTTATAATGAGCAGGAATGAACAATTATTACAAATTGATGTCTTGTCTTACTTTAGTGAATTTCTTCTATTTCCTTTCTTAAGTGCCAGACATTTCTCAAAACAATACAATATCTAAACCCATTAAACTATAAATTCATTGATGTTAGTACGATATTGTCTAGTGTTCCTATAATTCATTATAGTTTAAAGTTTGATTAAATGAACTCTATGTTTCAAAGGTTTTTTGGAACATGAAATTATATTGGGTTCATAAACAATACAAATAATAATTAAATCGTCGTCTTTTACTTTTTATGTGAAAGAAGGCATATCAACATGGAAAATTAGCTTGTTTGCCTGTGCTGTTGTCCTCAGAGTTTTCACAATGTGTACAACCATATACAAGAGAATACACATTTGCTTCCGTTTCTTTTAACCTTTTGTTTTTCATAACATAAAGCACCCACATATCAAAACAAAATGCCTTAATAGACTGTTTTTGAAATGTATTGTCACGGTTCATTAGACACTCAGACATGAAGTGACCGTGTCTTTTTTTTTTTGTTAAGTCTTGGGATTGCGCAATATGATTGTCTCATCACCTTAGTTTAAATATTTATGTTAGCCTAGCCATCTTGTCTCTTCAACTTTCCTTCAATACTTGTGTCAAATATACTCAATAAAAGACTCGATGCCCCTCTTTGTGAGAGGTTCTTTCATTAAATAGGAGTAAAATAACAACTAAATATGGAAGCAATCAAATACAATATTAATTAATGGTAAAAACAATCTATCTATATCTAATACAATTATAATAATATAATCGTAATTTTCGACGATCTTCAGAATCTTATTCAATTTTCGACGATTTTCGGAATCTTATTCAAGCTCCTTGACAGCTTGCATCATCTTGAGTTGTCCTTATCAATTAATCTTTATCGGCGATGATCTCACCTTGATGATAGACCTCCAGATAAGGTTCTATAGCCTTGCTAAATTATAGCTGCTTTCTCACATCCTGAGAAGTCTCAAGCATGTGAAATTATATAACTTTTTAAATTTATTTGTTAATATATCATTGCCCCAATTTGAAGGTGTGAAACTTGTAACTCCATTTATTTTTTCTTATTTGAAACTATGAATTTTCCGTTAAACTTGAACCACTAGAAAATATTTAGATCTTCAAGACTCTCACACTATGTTGATGCACGATGTCGATGCCTATTCAAGTTGGAAGGAGAAAAGAGCTCAATTCAGATTTTGACTGTCTTTTATCAGTTACGAATTCATACATCAGAGTGTTGACTCAAGTTCCTTGGAATCTCAGATTCCAAACTTGCATCATTTGTTTAACAATGTTTCATACATCACATTACAATCCAAAAATTAAAACGTCTCTTTGTGTATTTTCTGACCACTTCATTTCTTCTTATCCTAAAATCAAATTGAAGTAATGGGTGATATTTTCAACATTTGACTTGATTCATCAGATGTAGCACTAGTTACGTCTCTGCGGGATGGGATGAATCTCGTCAGCTATGAGTTTGTGGCATGTCAAGATTCCAAAAAAGGAGTTCTCATCCTCAGTGAAGTATTATATCATACTCTTACAGTTTTATTTGCATCCAACTTTTATTGTTGCATAATGATTCGCACTAGCCTTTGTAGTTTGTACCTTCAATTATATGTAATTCTCTTTTTACTGCTGCAAATAAGCACGTGAACAGGTATTTTGATTTGAAAAAGCTCAGTAATCAATATGACTTTTGTTTTCTTTTTGGTTCTTTGAAAAGGAGTAAATAATCACATGAATTTTATCTTTTACTTGTTCGAAGAGGTTGATATTCTGTATTAGCTATGAGTTTGTGGCATGTCAAGATTCCAAAAAATGTTTTTATCCATTTCCTTTTCTTGTGGGTATTTTGGTTCACACTCTATTTCTGTACATTGATTATCCTCAACGTTCTGATTGGTCGAACCAATCTGTCTTATTGAGTTTTTGGTCCTTGTACATTTTTGTGCTTCGACAATGAGATTAATCCTTCGGAATGCTTGTAGTTTGCGGGAGCAGCACAGTCTCTTGGTGCTGGTGCAATTCTAGTAAATCCTTGGAACGTCACAGAAGTTGCTGCTGCAATAGGACAAGCTTTGAATATGCCTGCTGAAGAAAGAGAGAAACGTCACCGACATAACTTTGAGCACGTGTCTTCTCATACTGCTCAACAATGGGCTGAGTTCTTCGTGAGGTATGTAAAAGAAATAACAGTTATAATGATCATCTTGTACTTTTGTATTTCCCATAAGTTTTTTGAGTGTCATTTATACTCGATGAACTAATATCAAAAGACTTCACCTGGAATGACATTGTTCTAACTTTGTTAATCAATAAAGGAAGAACAAAGAATGGGAAATTGGCAATAGAAAATTGTGCCTAGAGCAGTTAACCTTTTGGTCTGAACTGTCAATTTCCCGTTATTTCCAATATGACACTGTGAGCAATGATTACATAAATTACTCAGATTAGGTTAAAGTTCTTTCCTTTCTTCTCTTTGGCCAATAACATTTCATGGTCTTATGGAAACCAATCTTTTGTGAAAGTTATGCGGAAAGTTGGAGGACATGTCTGTTATCTGTCAAGTGTCAACCACTTTTTAGATTCTAGGCTTGAGCACATGTACTTGCTGCACCAGAAAATTTAGTAAATTCTGATAAAACCAAATTGGAGAATATTCACAAAACCTGGATAGAAATTGTAGCTTTCATGGTCCTTGCATGAATGATCAACTTGAAAATACTATCTGCCGTTCAATCAACTTGAAAATACTAACTGAGTTCAATTTTCAATCGAACTTATGTACACTAAGTAGTGTTATTGATTCAAAGAATCAAAGGTGTGTATACCGAAATGAATTTAATGCCCTTTGAATTCTCACGAATTACCAAAATATTATAAAAATTATGATGAATTTTTCATAAAACCTGTTGCATAATGAATTGTACGAAATAGGAATTGAAATAAAATGAAAACCTCAGAGATAATTCTGTTATTTATATGATTGATAAGTAAAGTGGAATGCCCAAACCAAAAAAAGTTTAATATCTTTGTGGGGATTTAAATAGTATCACCATAGATGTGCCATGTTATATTATAGTCTCCAAATCTTGATAAATCGTTTTAACTATATATAATTAAGTCGTAATCGTGATGCTATAGCATCCTTTGACCATTTTCCCTATGTTTAATAGGCTTAGTGAGTGAGTTGTGATCCTTTTGGTATTGGGCATTCATGTTCGCGTATCGTAGAAAACAATATTCTAATTTCTAATTTTTCATTAGTTATGTTCATTAAGTAATATAACTATGCTCAGTCCATATATTTTAACTTCTTTTTGCTGGAATATTCAATAATTGATGTCAAAGTGCAACATTACATGGCAGTACCACTCTTGGATGAACAAGTACATTTTGTGGGGAACATTTTAACCAACTGGCCTAGATTGTTATGTGATTCTACAAGTCAGGAACCTCATTCAGTGCTTCACATTGAAAGAGATTTTTATGTTACAGTTCTTAAAGATGCTAACACGTTGCTAGAGCTTTCCTCACTTTCTTTGTAGAAGTAAGAGACCAGCACTAATGTAGGAGAATCTGACATCTAACTGTAGTCGGTTACATGAAATTTAATCAGCACTCAACTGATATTTGCAGTGAATTAAATGATACCATTATTGAAGCCCAGCAGAGGATAAGAAAAGTTCCACCTCAACTTGTTTTCAGTGATGCAATCCAGCACTATTTGCAATCTACGAATCGGTTACTTATACTGGTATGTTCCTTGCTGATTTCTGGTTGAAAAAATATGTTGATCTTGGTTTGCAGATAAATATGTCTCAGAAAATATTGTGTATATTTCATTCTTTGATTTAGTAAAGGTATTTACCGGGCATAAATTGTGTAGGAAAAGGAAAATGATTAACAACTTTAAATTAGGAAACAAATTCTAAATCTTTCTCTGCACCTACAAATTAGGACTCATCTTTGCCAGGGTATTGACAAAATAATTAGAGATTTTTTAGACTTCCCCCACGAGCAAGCTAGAAGATGTCTACCATTCCTAGCTTGCTTGTAAATGACTCAAAAGCAGGTTTTTGAAGACCTCTTAGTAAGAACTGCTTTCTGTAGGAAAATATGGCATGTGGACTACACTTCATTCTATTTTCTCTTTAATGAAATGCCTATCTACCTCAATATGTAGGCTAAATTTATTTTTGGATCAAGAATCGTGGAATTTTTATGAAAGGGTAACTGCGAGACTTGAACTTAGGATATTTGCTTGCTTTTATATCATGTTGGATCGCCTCTTCTAAAAGTTTAAGCTAATAGAGAGGGAAGACATTTATTTATTTGTATTTATATGTAAAATAGGAAAAAGGAAGTGGCTAGACTCTATATGCGAACTCTAGACAAGCAGGTAGAAGAATTTGGCTTCAGTGACTGAAGAATTCAAGGCAGTGTTCCAAATGGGACAAACGTTTTAGTTTCTTCTAAGAGTTTAGCTTCTTGCCATCTGATCCTATGTTGTTTCTATGTCAAGTCTCAGCTTTGAATGATGAAGCTTATGGAAATTGTAAAATATCTAACTTCCAAAAATTTCCATGTAAAAAATGCTATCTGATAGCATTATGGTATATCATTATTTGACATAAATTTTTATTTGGAGCTCTAGTAATTGTGGGAGATGTGAACTATAAGTCTATGTTAGTGTTTTGCACGAGTTTTCTTTCCATGAAATAACAGTAGGTTATAGAGGTTGTAACTTGTGTTCAATGGAAACCTCCCTGCACCCACCCCATCCCCAAAGAAACAAGGGGGGCATAATTAACAATACCAAATATAATAATATAGTCGTATTCTTGTTTGTTGATTTTAATAAAAACAGGGTTTCAATGCTACACTAACTGAACCGGTCGACACTCCTGGGAGAAGAGGTGGAGATCAGATTAAAGAAATGGAACTTAAATTGCACCCTGAGCTGAAAGGACCTCTGAAGATGCTTTGTAATGAGCCAAATACAACGATTGTTGTCCTCAGTGGAAGCGAGAGAAGTGTCTTAGATGATGTAAAATTCTTTTTTTTTCCTCATCCTGCCACACCTATTGCTTCCACGTTCCCTGAATTGATTTATTATGCAGAACTTTGGTGAGTTTGACATGTGGTTGGCAGCTGAGAATGGGATGTTTTTGCGTTCTACAAAGGGTGAATGGATGACAACGATGCCAGAGCATTTAAATATGGATTGGGTTGACAGTGTGAAGGTGAATGTGACTTCAACCTATTGAACTGCCTCTTCTCAAAGCTTAAGTTGTTAAATAGGAGATATGTATATTTATTTAAATTTATTCTTCAACACATCCCTCACGTGCACACCAAATTCATTTTTATCATCAAACATTTAACGTGTTCAAATTTTACAAATGGGTCACATGAATCACCTCATCTAAAAGCTTAAGCCATTAGAGATGAGACATTTTATTATTTATATTTAATCTTTGACACTATTCAACATGTCCTCTTCCAACATAAATATTTATTGGTGTTTTTGGTAACAATTCAGCATGTTTTTGAGTATTTCACTGCAAGAACCCCGAGATCACATTTTGAAAGTCGTGAAACTTCACTTGTATGGAACTACAAGTATGCAGGTAAGTAAGATCAGCGATGTTGTCCTTGGCGCCTGGATTTTCTCGCAACGTACCTTGTCTAACTCTCTGTTTTCCATTATCTTTTCTTTCAATATAATTTCAGATATTGAATTTGGAAGGTTGCAAGCTAGAGACATGCTGCAGCATCTCTGGACTGGTCCAATTGGTAACTCATCTGTAGATGTTGTCCAAGGAAGCCGCTCAGTTGAGATGCGAGCAGCTGGTGTGACAAAGGTATCCACATATTTTTAATAGTTGAAATGTTTGATTATCTATAAAATGTGGCCCATGCCAAAAATATCACAATTACCTCCTCGTCATGGGCCATAACACTGGAAACGACAACCGAAATCCTTTCACCGGGCATTAACTATCATATAATAATTTAATATTCTGATCATTTTCCTCTTTCTGTCTACAGGGTGCTGCTATTGAACGTATACTGGGAGAGATAGTTCATAATAAAGCCATTTGTACACCAATAGATTATGTCCTGTGCTTGGGGCATGTCTTAGGGAAGGTATATTTCTTACTTTTCTAAATGAAGATTTTAATGATAAATATCACAGTTGCTTTAAATTTCGTATTTGAAGCTTAACGTCCTCTTTACCAAGTCGTTTTCTATCTCACGATTTTTTTATTTATATTCTTGATCATACAATTTTTTATTGACTCGTCCGCATCATAGTGGCAAGATTGGGAAGTAGGGGTCAGGATTTAAATCCCATTGCAAACTCTTGTATCCTATGATCTGCATAAGGAGATCCCCCCTCCCTTCCTCCCTCCATCAAAGAGATGAAAAATAGTTGTCTGCAATTTTATTTCTAAAGCATTTGTGTGAAATTCGACTGTACTTGCTTGTTCAAGTGTAAATTTAATGGTCCTTGCCTTCGTTTAAATGCATTGTTTATTCTTACAATCCGATGGTATTCTTGGTAATTATCCTGTGTGAAAGTCAAGTCTCATTAATTGTATTGATACAATAAGGAAACGAATCTAATTTTAATTCATGTTCCTCTAATTATGCTTCTTTGTATCAGGATGAGGATCTTTACACATTTTTTGAGCCTGATCTTTCTTTTGAAACTATGGGTATACCAAGAACAAAAGCGTCTGATGCAACGAAAAGGCCGACTTCAAAGCTTCCGTCTGGTAGAAGCAACTCCAAGTCTCAGGTTAAGAGTCAGCAATGTGGGCCAAACCCGGTCAAGAAATCATTTAACGGTGCCTCTGGGAACAGCCGGAGGTCATCATCAGAAAATATCTCGTGGAATGTGCTCGATTTGAAAAAGGAGAACTATTTTTCTTGTGCCGTTGGCCGCACTCGCACGAATGCTCGGTACCTTCTTAATACATCAGATGATGTTGTGGTGTTTCTCAGGGAGATGGCTGAAGCTTCCTTGTAGAACTAGTAAGGCATCGAATTGAGTTCATAATGTTTCTAGTTTCAAATTTCGACAATAAGTGCATGTTTGATATGAAGCATCAGATTGTGCTGAATACTGTACTAGACAATATATTACCTTTTTCTTTTTTTAATTAATGTTGATAGTTTAATCTAATGCTTGGTTTCTTTGAGCTAATTTCCTTCCAACTCGCAAGCATAAATGTACCTGATTAATCAATGGAAAGACAAAATCTGCGTACAAAAGAGTATAAAAATAAATAAATAAATAAATAATAATAAAATCATTTAATAGATTCTCAATGTCAGCACCTCAGCAAACTGCCTGAAGACAACTTACAACTGTGGATCAAAATGAATGTAGTTTGCTCCTAGAGAGCAGTATTTAGCAAACTACAACGTTATTCGAAGAAAAAGGAAATTGACATGTCTAGAAGAACCATTCTAATCACTATCCAGACTGTAGAGATAAATAAAGAACAATTCAAAAATGAGCCGAAGATGAAATCTGATAATGATTAAATAACTGGTATCTCATCCCCTAGCACGATATGCTGAAATGACCCTCGAGTTGTTGGTCCAAAATACTTACGCCGCAGGGGATTTCCTGTTGGGTTCAAAGACATACTTGATCAATGATTCCTTAATTGGTAGCAATTCAGGAAACTCATTCTTCAACTTGGAGGCATCCATTTCGTTGTTACTTCTAGCAGCAACTATCACCTTAGCTTGCTCTTCAATTGTGAAGTTTGACCATTTGAAACCTGGATCAATATATTTCTTGTACATCTCCAAGATCTCATTGTGGCTGACAACACCTGGGTTGGTGAAGTTCCATATGCCCCTTAGGTTCCGTTTTGCCATCTCAATTGAAATCGGAAGAAGCTCATCCAAGATGGTCATACTGTTGGGAATATTAACTACCTTATCATATCGAGAAATCTTGGTAATGAAATTGCGTGGGTTGCTCAAGTCTGATGAAATAGGCATTCTAACTCTGAGCGTGCAGACATTGTCATATTCTTTCAAGAGCTCTTCCACCTGATTGACAGGACAACTTGAACATATTAATAACCATACATATGCACATAATGATTATTCAGACCTATCATGTAAGTTGTAACTATTTTAAAGGAAAAAATTAATGGAAAGGCAAGGGACTGGAATTACCATGGCCTTCGTCTTTGAATAGAATGAACCAGCGAAATTAGGTTTGTCTTCCTCTTTAAATCCAATGCCAGATCCTTCAGGGTGTGCAGCATCATATTCAAATATACATCCAGTGGCAAAGTTCATCATCAGGAGACTGTGCTCTCGGCATACATCTGCTAAGTTGAGTGTACCAGCAACATTGGTACGAATGGTTTCAGGTTTGTGAGATTCACACCAGTCAACATTGGGTCTACCAGTCACTCCAGCAGCATTAAAAACATGTGTAGGCTTAACAGTGAGGATGTCTGCCAAAAGCTTTGAGCGATCCTCAAGGCGTCCCTTTCCATACTCGTAAGGGATACCCTGTTTCTCACACAATTTTCCAAGTAAACCACCAATCCATCCAGTCCTGCCATAGATCAAAAACTTGTAAGGTGGTTTTTGAGGTGAATTGTTACTTTTGGAAGCAGGATTAGACTTGTCTGTGAATTCTGACTTTCCAGAATCATATTTCTCCACATCATCAAAATGCCTTTCAATTCCACAAGGCATCATCAGCATTCGAGGGTGAGGAAGTAGTGCTCCAGACACATCACCCCACCAATCAGGTTTGTTGATATACCATTCCATGGTCATTTTCAACCCCTCTTCCCACGAGGTTCTCTCAGACCAGCCTAAATTCTTCAGTTTCTGATCATCTAGGAAGTACCTCTGGTCATTAAATGGTCTGTTCTCGACAAACTGAATGCTTTTGTCTGGATCCATGTTGAAAAGATTACATATATCTTTGGCAACGTCAATCACTCTCCTCTCTTTCTTAGTTCCAATGTTGTAAACATGACCAACTTCACCCTGGTGAAGAATGACTTCAAATGCCTCGGCAACATCCTCACAATAGAGATAACTTCGCACATTACAACCATCCCCGTGAATGGGAAGAGGTTTTCCTCTCATGGCTAAAAGGATGAACTTTGGGATTAACTTCTCAGGAAACTGATTGGGACCATAAACATTGTTTCCTCGGGTGGTTATCACAGGCAATCCATAAGATCTACCATAAGCCATAACAAGCATTTCAGCTCCAGCTTTTGTGGCCGAATATGGGTTTGTGGGCAGGAGTTGTGAGGCTTCGTGATTTCCAACAACAGCATCCTCATCAGTCTCTCCATAAACCTCATCTGTGCTTACATGGATAAACCTTTTGATCTGGCCAGTAACTTTACAGGCCTCCAATAGCACATGAGTGCCATAAATGTTATTCTTAGTGAACTCAAAACTGTTGCCAAAAGAATTATCAACATGGGTCTGGGCCGCAAAGTGCATTATAGTGTCAATGTTCTCAGTAATGAGAAGATAGTTGACAAGATCGGCACTTGCAATATCCCCTTTGACAAACTTAAATTTTGGGGAAGATTTGGAGGGGGTGAGGTTTTTAAGGTTCGAGCAGTAATCAAGTTTGTCTAGGACGACAATCTTGTAATCGGGGTAGTTTCGGATGAGCCTATTTGCAACATGACACGCAATGAATCCAGCAGCCCCTGTAATGAGGATATTCTTCGGAGTGTATGCTGCCATTATAACTCAATATCTGCAACCAAAAGAACGCAATATCCAATTCAGATAAACAAAGTAAGTGAATATAGTCCTGGAATATTTCAAGGTTTGTTTTATTGGCTATTTGAAAAGTAACAACAGAACATGATAAATCCTTTAACCAAAATATAGGTAAAGATATAGGATTAGGTACAGCGGTCCATAGATCTAAATCAGCAACGAAATAAACTGCATTTGCAGCACTGACATTCAAAATTTCAATACAAATCCACTCAATGATGTTGGTTCCAATAAGATATGCACAAAAACAAGTCTTTCCAATGCTGATCAGAAATTCATTACTTGCTTATACAACATCATGGAGAAAATTTATAGATATACGTATGTATGATGTAATGATCTGGATCAAATGAAGTAACGCCGACTAGATTCCATACGTTATAATGACAATTCAATAGTATCAACAGATCTAGCATAACTACAAAAAAACACAGATCATAAATGCAAATATTATACTACAAACTAAGCATACATCCAAAAGGGATTTGAAGGGAAAAAAAAAAGTTACATAAATATAAGAAAGACCCAGATCATAAATTTACAATCAATACTGAAATGAAGCATGAAACCAAAAGGGACTTTCAAACATAACTTACATAAATGTAAGAAAACCCCAGATCATGAATGCTCAAACTAAGCATAAAACAATACGGATTTTGAAAAACAACTTACATTTGACTTCCAGATCGAGATCCACTTATCCACCACTCTAATTAAACAGTAAGAGAAAAAGAAGTTTGAAACAATTCCCTTCCAGATAAAAGACAGGGATGAAATTTAGATATAGAGAAATGGTTGAAACCAGAGGATGATAGAAGGGAGAATTGGAGGTGACTCGATGGCTAGAAGCGCGGAGCGTCGAGCAATATCTCTTCCCCCTATGTATACCTCCACTCTCCTGTACATGAGATTACAAAACAGATTAATTATTCAAATGTCGGTCTAATCTAAGATAGATTTTTAAAAATATATATAATCTAGAAATAAATTATCCAATTAATCTAAAATTATGTAACTAATATAGGAAAAAATTAATGAATTGTTAATCTCATATAGAATTAAAATGAAAAATTACTTAGTCATCCAGTCGAGAATATGCAAATTATCTAGTTGTATATTAGTTTGAAGAGTTGTGTTAGGTGTACATCCTTAACGTATAGACTAATGGCCCTTGGATAGGGAGTAGGGTAGCGATTATTTTAAAATCGTGAGCCCCACCTCCCATGTGAGAGGGCATTCATGCTGGTGTACACTCAGCATAAATTTAATTGGAATCATCGGTGCAAGAAAGAAAGAAAAATGTGTTCCATCAATTATTAGTATAATTGATGTCTCGAATCAAGTGGACTATGATTGAACATGTACTTGTTGGATAAATTAGAGTGCATAATTATACTCCATTACTAATAAATACGTACATGTAAATACTAGAGTGATAACTTACCGAAATCATGATATGTTCATAATAATGACTCAAACACAACTTACTCGAACATAGAAAATGCAAAAATCGAAGGAGATGAAATGAAGCGAGGTATGCTAATGTAGATTTCCTTTAGACAGATTTCGTCTTCTGTGCTAGTGCTAACAGGGTCCAATGGACGTCCGTCTCTCAAGTTACGATGCTTCTTTCGAATAGTTGTATCTTTTGGTACAAATTAATTCCAACCACTAGATCACACAATTTCAAAATTGATAATCTAGATTGCACCTCATCCAAATGCCATGACTCTTTATTTTGCACTTAAAGAGTCGCACACAATCTTTGCATCTATTGGAGATTTTTCCAATTCACATATTATAATCTTTATATACCCAAGAATTCCAACAGTAATAAATCTAGATGATTGACAAAGAATTTAATCAATTATTCAGGATGGCTTTGGGGCGAGAATAGGACCACAATCCTTTCCCCAAGTCGCGGATGGTTCCAATCACGTCCTCGTCCTTATTCCTGTCTTGATTAATAAAATTATTTTGCATGGTAACATCATTCATTTGGAATCAACGATGTTGTGATCATCGTTACGTGCTTTCTCTTTCGCTACTATACAAGTTTTTTGGGCTCGACCAGGTAGTTTGAGCACTAAGCTCAAGTTTGGGAGTCTGAATCACACAATAGGTATCGGCACAATCGAAGCTTTCTACTATGCCAATATTTGGGAATCACAAAAAAATTTAAACTCGTAAGAAATAGAAAATAGGAAAAAGTGCAAATACAAAGCACGAAGACTAATGTAGTTCGTCAATTATTACTACATCTATAAACACACACCAATATATATCACTATTTCAATGACAGAAAGAGAAAATACAAACATATACTAGGTAGAGGGTATAATGATCGATAAAGATGGATTAATAGTCTTTGAATTTTCATTTTTCTAATTCGATGCACCAAAAGTAGACTTAGTGATGCACATGATTATTGGGATCTGCTGCCGGAGAAGGATTGCCTCCGGGTGGAAGCTGCCTGTTGCTGCGGCGGGGGAAACCTTCAGTCATATTGAAGAAGCCACGAATTAAATCACTACCGAAAGAAAAGGGAAAATTTGGGGAAGACATCGAATAAGCATGCTCTTGAAGGTTAAGAAAGTGGAATCAACATGTGAAATTTGAGTCACATATTATTTGAACCTGACCTTGAGTCGTCACACCGAAGTTTGTTACTCTAGCTTGGCCGAATAAACATCCGGAGTTTATCGTTAACACAATGAAGGTTGCAATGAGAGCATAGAGAACAGCACGCTTGTAGAGATTAAGCCTCATTCTTGTGGGATGTGCTCTTGCAATCTTATACCTATTGGCTATAGGGTTTTATAGGCAATGAGGTCTTTCATCTATGAAGTGGTCAAATTTTCTCCCTCAGAAGTCACAAGGACAAACTCATTGAAAAAGTCCATGTACATTAAAGGTAGATAAAGTAAGAAGAAATTTGTGCTGACCAAAAATGATGAACCTGACCAATCTGAGGTCGATAAATAAAAATTAAAAAATCATGCATTTTTCAATCTACAAGTGTTTATAATTATAATATTTGTTGTGTCTCATCCTACTATACAGATCACATGACAATCAGCTAGGAAAGACGCAAAATGTCACGCAAGGTCCACACTCCGATTGCAAGCTTGTTTTCTCTCTTCAAAATCGACACCCATATTTTCATCCATTGCGTTTCTTTCATACCCGAAGTATCTATCGCACCTTGTCGGAGCTACGGTCACGAGCAATTTTATGTGGTTATCCAAGTGTACATGTAAGTTGTAACATACACGTGAATAAAAGAGGAATTGGGATTTGTCGACCACGTCTTCTGCTAGATTTCGAGATCAACAATCTCGATAGCTAATAAATAGTATGTTTTGCTCCAATATGGATAATTATGATTTCAATAGGAAATAAATAATCTTCCCCGTTTCGATTTGCTTCCTAGTTAGAGGGAACAAGATATAGAGTGCTTTTCATTTTGATTTTTAATTGTAATCCAAATTTGAATTCTGAGAGAGAATAATAACAATGTCAACATACGTTTTAATAGTTCAAATTGAATGCTGTTTGGCTGTGTGGTTGAGACTTTTTCTTCTTGACCATCCTCCAACAACTAACCAATATCGTGTTGAAAAATGCTTGGAAAATTTAATTACATTCAAACCTCAAATCCCACTTTTAATTATCGACTAAAATTCCTTAAAGCACTTCTCCTTTATATATATATATATATATATATATATACACACCACAGTTTTGTCAGCCTAACACAAAAGCCATCTGTAGATGGGGTGGATAATTTAGGGCCCCAATGGTAAGCTTCTACTTCTTGTAGAAGAGTTTCTCGAAAAAGCTACCTTACGTGAGTCTTCTAGCTAGATAAAGCACTTCGAGAAAGTTTTCCAAACATGTTCAAAAGCAATTTCTTAATTCCAGACTTAGTTTTTGACTTTTCAAAAGCCATGACAAAAGAGTAAACTTGCTCCTAAGACTAGCAAAATGTTGCTGATTCTCACTCGGGCAGAAGAAAGCAATTAAAAACTCGCAGTAGAAGATAATTAATCGCGTTGTTTACGTAGTTTTACAAAAATACAGGGCAAACCCTTAGTCCAACAGGAAGAAATAAACAACCAAGAACAAAGAGGCAATCATAGCAAGTCTCTCAGTGTGGTTCTCACATCTGCAGCCTTTTCCTCCTGAATTCCCCAATAGAGAGTGCGTTAGTACGATTGATTTATGCGATAAGAAAGATGTCAATTTAAGCATTAGTCGAACCTACCAAACACGTCATAATTACGTTACCTGTTTGTAGATATTTCCTTCTTCACACTGATCAAGTGGCCTCCCTCTTTCGTCATACAGTATGAGGCCACTAAATCTTGGCAGCTCACACTTTTCACCCATGAGTATTGGCCTTTGCCACACGGGTGAAGTTGAATTATGACTCTGCCACCCGGAATCTCCTGCACAACTTCCTCTTGCAAGCAATGGCGTAGGCCTCTCTCTTTCACTCCCACTGAACTGTACGTCCCACTTGCTCACCCCGCTCCACCTCACCGAGCTCATCAACGCTTTCTTCACCGAGCCCCACCCCGGCCGTGGCGGCTCAGCCCATGTTGTGGTGGTGGTTGATGCCTCAGTGTATGGTTCTTGATACACTGCTCCTTTCCTCCTACACCTCTTCATAGCAGCAGCTGTGCAAAGACAGATCACTAGAAAACCAGTGCAAGCAAACAATGCAACAGCCTTTTGTGTTGATACCTTGAATCTGTCTTCTATACTCCATAAAGCTTCCATGAATTCTGAAAATCTGTAACAATAGTGAAAAGGTGGTGTGTGGGAATTACGGGAAAATGTGAAGAAAATTGTTTGAACTTAGCGTGCATGAATAAATTTCGTGTGAGGATATAACCGACAGTTGGGTTTGGATTCTCGTGTTCTTGTTTTGTGGGACATGCTATAATTTCAATATTATTAGCCGTTGGCAATTACTCACCGTTAGAAGCTAATAAAAATCTTCACGAGATGTGCAAGAATGGTATAAACAGTTATTGATCAGGACACAGCTGATTGTGTATGTGGATTTGTGATTTTATATAAATCATTGGGCGAATTGTGACTCCATTTCCAAGCAAGAATTTTCATTTCTACTTTGTTGAAGATACAAGTATAGGATCGTTCTCTTATTTATTTTGTTTGTTTAGCAAACGCGGTCTTGTTTTCAATCTTTTCATGATAATGACAATTGCTTTCGTGTCCTCCTTTTGACCTCGTCGAGCGAAAATTAGACACGTGACAATTTTGTCCCCTACTTCAATTTTCACAGTAAAGATGTCTTTTTAGATGGTTTTCATCTGAAACATACGTTAAATTGAGGGAAAAATATATTCTTCAGGTTCAAATAAACAAAAACTGAAACAGAACAGGAAAAATATAAAATAAAAATAGACAACCATCCTTGCTTGAATTTTGCAAATATTGAATGGCATTCAAGTTTACTGACTTATTCACCCCACAGCTTTTATGTACATTAGAATTGACAAATTGCATAATTGGTTTATGATAAATATGGAAGGAGCAATCATGTATGAACAACAAATACTTATTTATATAAATTAATAATACAATGATTGTAAATTTACAGGGACCAATACTTCATAAACTAAATTAAAAAAAAGCTCTCTTCTCACTATAAATCTCCTAACCAAACTAGACATACAATGGGACACTGAATCTCTAGGTGATTAATGCACAAAATTCACATAATCTTCCTCACACCATCCCACAATTCATAAACACTGTTCATCTTTGGTGCCCCCTGGTTATCCAAGTCGAAAGCTCCCTTGTCAAGATATCATTCCAGGTGAGCCCCTACTAAGTTGGTACAAACTGAACAGCAACTTCTCTGTGAGCAGCAGCCCCGGCTGCACTGAACTGAGATTGAGCTTGAAGCATTTTCACGTTTAAAGCAAGTTGACTGTTCAATAGGCCTGCCTTCGAGTGCGTCAGGTAGTACGCGTTACTATTTAAGTCAACATTCATTCCTGGAGTTACTTTAGGAGGTAAAAGCTGATGAGGTTTCACTTTGTGCTCGATGGGAATATTCATACCATTTGTGGATTTAACCAGCATGGATTGCTGAGATTCTTGTTTGCCTTGTGATGACTCCGTCTCAGTTTCAGTCCGATACTTCTCTTGATTCTTTGCCAAGTTAGTTGTAGAGAAGTGTGGAAAGACTGGTCTTGGAAGAGCAGCATTCTGAACATGTACTCTCCCGTTGTAGGCCTCCTTGATGTGATTGACATTCTCATATGGTAGAACTGGCCCTACCACTCTTCCCAGCTTGGCTACACAAAAAATGGATGTGTTACTGAAAAAAGGAAAAACAACATATTTCAATTTGAGTAAGATTCATGTTGCATAAACCAATTCATAGGCTGTTGTTTAGCATAAATATTTATATGATCCTCCTGTCCTCGAAAAACATCCTATCCCCTCCCTCTCCTCTCTCGCTGAACCTATGTGACCTCACTGAACATAACCTTATAAATTTTTTCCAACTATCCAAAAAGAAAAATAGAAGAAAGTGCAGATTTTTGTTGGCCTTGTTCCACATGCTCAATTGCAATACCACAGATAAATACGTCTAGCTTCCATCGGTGATCAAAGACAATGCATGGGATTATAGTACTTTCTTAATCTCATATTACATGGTGGACTAGTAACGAGATCAGAAAAGGAGATTTTGCAGAAAATGTTTAATACCATTGGGCATATGTGGTGGTGGCTGTAAAACCTTTGAAAGATTTCCAGAAATGACCTCCGAAATAACTCCAGTGGCCATTTCTTTTGTATTTTGATGATTATCAAATATAGACACATTCTGTTGTGTCTTAGGAGGTATAGTACTTGAGCTAACAGTAGACCTGCATCAAGTAAAATCGACACAATATTATTCTATATACATGAAAACAGAAGATATTTTAAGAGGCTAGTTAAAGAAGTCAGGAAAACAGGGAAGCAGACTGCCAAGTTGTCTCAATTTTCTAAATCCTTGTGTAAGGAATTTCAGAAAAATAGATCAACGACAATTTAGTGGCTCAAGCACTAACTTGTCAAGGAGAAACCAATCCAATTTGCAGTAAGCTTTTTTAGAAAATATGTTCAAGTTATTTTCCACTAGGAGTTCCCAACCTTCCTAAGTGTGGCACCCATGTCCTCAACTACCATTTGTTGTACCCATGACCCATGACCTTTTAATATGTAGTACCCATGTCCCAGCTTTAAACGGCCAAGCAACACTCACGTAATGTCACGATGTGTTGAAGCATGGGGACGTGTTTTCATAAACATTTAAGTCCTGTTTGATCGCAACAAATTCCATTGAAAATGTCACATCCGAGGAAAACGAATGTTACTTTGGCCGTTTAATTGTAACGTGGAAATGGAAACTGAATTTCAAGGGACAACCACTTTAAGCTGTATTTTCTTTATTTTCATGGAAAACAAATTCCTATGGGTTTGATTGGTTTTTATTTTCCTACTGGAATTGGAATTCCTTTACACTTTTGCCTATCAAACGGATTCTTAAGGAATTTCATCCTATTTGGATTTCTAAATGAAAGTTGAAGTCACTGTTTGATTTGTTTTGGAATAAAGGAAATCTTTTTGGACGATTTTACCCGACATGACGTAAGTGTCACATGGTCATTTAATGTTCAAATGTACATTTTCTGTTAGCTGGGTACATGGGCACCACAGGTTTCAGATGTTGGGGATCTGACTTCTAGAAATGGTAGGGTAAAGACATGGGTGCGACAGGTGTCCTTCTTAAGAAAGGTTGGGGACCCTGGTAGAATTCACCTTTATTTTTTAAACTTAATGCAAAGTGATGCGCATTAGTTGTTTCCTCATCTCATACTGCATTCACTTATTTATTTATCTTCTTTCTGCCAGATAAAGTTCTCTCCTCATTTAAAAATAAAGAAACAAATAGCGAAAAGGAAAATCCATATCCACACTTTGACAACATTAATTATTTTATGAGGACGATATGTATAACAGAAACAACATATTAAATAAATTAAATGAATGAACCAACCTTGGAAGAGAGGTATGCTTTCTCTGAGGAGGAATCACGGGTCCACTTTTTCCATCATTTTCCTCAAGATAGGCAAATTGTTGCCTGAAATGACCAATGGCACTGCATAGAGCAAAATCCATTATTCTATGAGAGTCATGTAATGTAAGGTTAAAAGTTCTAATCAAATAGGTAAGCTCAAAATGGAAGTGTTCAAAACCTAGGATATAGAAAATTCATGCCGTTAATTCCTGCCATATAGTCCTTCAGTAGTTGGGGATGGTATTCTAATATTTCCCGAAATATCAATTCCCTGATGTCTTCCTTTGTCACTCTTCGCCGTTCAAACTCAAACTCCAACTTTGAGATTGGCTGACAGGAAGGTTCCCTTTCAATTTTAGCCAGTCCCTTGAAGTAAGGATCCGCCAATGCCTAATATAAAAATACACCAAATAAATAAGAGAGAAAAATATAGTTGAAAAGCTCAATCTAGTAATGCATATCTAAACATATGCAGCTTGTATAATGCCATTATATTTTTAAGGTACAATGTACCTCTTCTGCAGTTGGTCGATCCTTGGGGTCAAATGCTAACAGCCTTTTCAATAAATTAAGTGACGCAGAATCTGCTTTGGGAAATTTCTCAGCAAAAGGCATTGGGTGCTTCTTCCGCATTCCTGCTAAATATTTTCTTGCCTTCTCGTTGCGTACCTGCATCCATGACATAATATGACAGTTACACAAATATCTTGGTCAATATCCTTTCATAACTAGTAAGCATGAAAATACAAAGTATAGAGGGTGATGTGCTGTACGCAAGAAATTGTATCTGCCGATGGCGTCCCCAGAAGATCAGTAATCAAATCCAACTGATGCACTATGCTTTTACCCGGAAACAATGGCTTCCCGGTCAAGACCTCCACAAAAATGCAGCCAATGCTCCAAATATCAATAGCAGGTGTATACTGCAAGCAACATATTAGCACTGGTGAGAAAGATTCACAATAACTGAAAGAAATGACACAGCAATAGACCCCGTCCCCCAGCAGAAATGTTGCAATCTGACACAGTTACCTCGAAGAACAGAAATATCAACTTCCAAGAGAGTTCAATAGTCCTCCCTGAACAACAATTGTTTTAATCTACAATTACTACTCATATAAGGCACTCTGAATACATACATCGTGTGTTTAAATAAACAAGTCAACACCATCAGCATATTTAAGTGGAGATATGTTATTGACCCATATCATGCGCATATAGTTGCAAAACTAACATAGGCAACTAATGAAGTCAAAGTTGTTATAATCCATAAAATAATATATGACCATGCTCCCGGCTTTCAGATCTACATCGAGAAAGGGAAAAAGCAATGCACTGTTGACATAATAGTTACCTTGGAGGAGAAAGATCCACACAGCTCAGGAGCCCTATACCATCTCGTAGCAACATAATCCTGTAATTTGTGACAGAAAAGTCAAAAAAATGGACAGGAATCCAGACACCTTTAGAAATGAGAACAATACCTAAACTTACATCCCCTGGCAATGGGATGAAGTACCAAACCATTAATTAAATAGTCCTCGTTTGAGCTACATTATTTTTTTCATTCTTATTCTTCTACTCATTTTCAACTACACATTCTTTAATAAAATAATATTTTTCATCACATCAATAACTTTTCCTTCTTTTTCAACCACATATTCTCCATCATATCAATCAAAAAAATACATTCTTGGAGTAAAAATGTGCACCAAACAGGGGCTATATGAGAACTGTAGAAATTCATGGGCCTAACTCATCTCACAAAACCGGTTCAACAAGAGAGGTTTGCCACATTGTTTATAAACTGGCCCAAGACATTGTCCACAGGCGATGTGAGATTTATTTCCAACACCCTCCCTCACGTGTAGGCCAGTAATTTTTCTGGTTCTTGTCACGAGGTAAGTAGTGTGGGCCTACATCAATCCTGGGGTAGGCTCTGATACCATGTAGAAATTTATGGGCCTAACTCATCTCACAAAACCGGTTTAGCAAGAGAGGTTTACCACATTGTTTATAAACTGGCCCAAGACATTGTCCACAGGCGATGTGGGATTTATTTCCAACAAGAACGTGTTTAAAGAATAACATACCGTCCAAAAAATAGCAGTTGGGGCATCATTGAAGGCCACTCTTGCTAATCCAAAATCACATATTTTAAGTTTGCAGTTTGCATTTGCCAATATATTCTTCGGTTTAAGATCCCGATGGTACACATTAGCTGAAACCAAAGATGTTTAAATAAGAAATAAAAACCATATAATAGCCACACACTTAAACTAAAGTTACTAAAGTGCTCCGTGATCAACACGAGAATGAAAGAAATGGAAATGTCAGAATGGTACACACAACGCTGAAAAAGCGAAACTAAAAAAATGAAGATAGGCGAAGTATCTTCATCTATGAACCACCAGATTGCATTCAATCTCTCAAGTTATGCATATCTGTTCAAGCCAATGCTGCCAAAAAAAAGGATCCTGAAAGTTACCTGTATGCATATATTTCAGTGCTCGCAGCATCTGATAGAGAAAAAACCGGTGGTGCTCATGCGTTAAGTCATCATTAGCTTTGATGACTTGATGAAGGTCGGACTCCATAAGCTCGAATACAACATAAATGTCTCTGAAATCACGCCTGGAGGATGGCAGCATGATCCGCTTAATTTCAACGATGTCAGGATGACGCAAAAGCCGAAGCAACTTAATCTCACGCAAAATCCGGATAGCATCAGAGCTATGGTCAAAAATGTCCTTTATCTTCTTTATTGCTACTTTCTCCCCAGTCTGCGTGTCAATGGCTGAACAAACAACTCCATAGCTCCCCTTGCCAATAATCTCTAGAATTTTGTATCTGTTGGCATCTCCGTGCTCAGTAAAAAACTCCATCTCTTTGGGGCTCTGCAAATAATTAGTACGCGGTCAGATCATGAAGGCTTGAATAATATTTTAGCAGTAACTAGTAAGAACTTGGTACACTGTGCTTCTCCTTGAGAATTTCAAGGTGACAGATAATATGTTGTTCACTACAGAATTCCTATAAAAAACTCCTGATACCCAGAATTAGTACTTCATCCAATAGAATTTTCCAAGTTCAAGAAAGGGATAGAGAAAATGTTTGATAAGGGAAAATAATGAAGAAAAAGAAAAATCAAGCTCAATCCTGTAAAGCATGCTACAAATAAGCTTCTTGCCAAAAAAAAAAAAATCAAAAGGTAGGAATCCGCAGACAGAGATTCTGATGATGGAGTAAAGTACAGAATCTGCAGATGGCATTGGGGCTCTCAAATAACAATCTAGAAACGAAAATGCTCCTAAAACACTAGTATCGCATAAATAATCAGCCAGCTTAAAGTAAAAGATAAACCCACATAACTATCAAATATAGATCTAACATATCATTAAATTAAATACTCATAGGTAGCATTAGCAAACTTCATTCACTGGATCAAATCCTAATGTAACCGTTATAATCTAATAAAAATAAATGTAAATTCATTTCTCCAGTCGCAAGATTTCAGCTTTTTTTACCCCATGCCCTATGAAATGAAGCCCAAAACTACTGAATGCAACATAGCCAACTCCAGGGGGAAAAAATTCTAAAATTACTTAAAATTAAACTCGATAGAAGATGAATCCTTTCAGAAAAATCTCAGTTTTCTGATCAAGAATTTCGATTTGTAATTATGAAAATTTTAAGCGTATGAACTCGTATATAAGCCCGATATCTACGTTTTTTAAGCAGAAAAAGAAACCCTAAACGGAAGACATGAACAACGCATTGTGTGTATATATATATATATATATATATAGAGAGAGAGAGAGAGAGGTGTTTCAGAAAAGAAGCAAAACCTTCTTCCGCTGATCTTGATGCTGCATGATTTCTCAAAAACTCTGAGAATACCGCCTCGTTTCTGTTGCTAGATCCAATCAGCTCAGGCCTCTGAGCCAAAAAAAATTTTTTTTTTTTTTGGGAAGTAAAATTGAAGCACTCAAATTAATCACTTCGACAGTTAATCAGGCAAACTGCATTTGGATCCACCGCGATAACCCCGTCGCCGCTCAACCTGCAATTCTCCAAAATTCGTCCAAAAAATTTCCTTTCTGCTCAACAATACACTGAAAATTATATATAATTTGAGAATAAAAGTAATAAATTGAGTTTTGGAGATCTAGAGATTCGGTGAAGCGACCGACAGAGGAGGTGGATTGGAGATTAGGAGAGGAGAAAGAGAGAACGGTGAATTATTTTGTTTTTATAGGGAAGGGAACTGGCTTTCCGCGTTTTATTTTCTATTTTTTCTTTTAATTTAATTTTTTAATTATTTGTTATTTGGGCGGCTGTTTGGTGGAGGAAAGTGTAAAGTTCAAAGCTTTCACGGAGTATGGGGCGGTGGTTGGCCTGTGGGCAGTGGTGACCTTTCTCTCTTTTACTCTTCTTCTATTTTCCCGTTTCGATCCTTGTACTTTTTGATATGTGCATTTTGATCCTTACGCGGTTTCAAAATAACCATCCAACCCTCA